GGGTAGGGGGGTAGGAGGGAGGAGTTGGGCTGGGGTGAGGCATTTTCGATATTATGCTCATTCCTGATCAGCTTTTCGACACCGCAATATTTTTAGAAATTCCTTCCACATTGTTCTATTCATGGCGCCGTATATTACAGGATTAATCCACGTACTAGCAAAGGTGAACATCGAAGTCACAGACGAAACTGGCTGATTAGCCAACCAAACTAACATTTCAAGGACAATGAAGGGAAGCCAGCAAATATAAAAGCCTATTACTGTAGCGAAAAGAATTCGGCAGGTGCGAAACTCTTTTGCGCTTGCGATTGCCGCGTTTTGCTGTCGTAGAGACGGTATAACAGCATTCTTATGATGCCTCACAGCTAAGAAAACTTTTCCGTAACAAAATACGATCAGCAATATCGGTAACACCGAGTATATACTTAATAGAAAGAACCAAATAACAGGTGAGTGATCGGGCCAAAAGGCCATACAGTACAAACTATGGGGCTGCCACTTGAAAACAACAGAAGCCGTTGGAATTACAATAACGGCGGCGACGATCGTGGAAACTAAGACGAACAAAACTGAAAATGCGGCTTTCTTTTTGGTAAAGAACTGAGGATAGCGCCGAGGTTTTACAACACAGATGTACCGGTTGAAGGCTGTCAATAACAAAATGTAGAGTGATACACCACCCCAAACATGTACGATAAATCCCTGAGACTGCGCAAAATTGTACCCGAAAGGCCACTCTCGCAAAAGTGAAGCAAAGATAGAAAAAGGACACACAGTTACTGAGACAATGATATCCGCCACGGATAAGCCGACCATGTAGATGTTGGTTACCGTCAGTGATCTTCTCTTTCGATAGGCGGTCAGACAGACCAACGTGTTTCCAACAACGGCCATAAACGTGTAGAAAACCAAAAACACTGTTGTTACCACGATTGTAGCAGTGCTCCTTGAATCAATTTCAGTTGGCTTCATGTTACTTGTGGTAGATCCTCAATCCGAAGAAAATTACACTTTGAAAATTTCAAACTTAAGTTCTTGAGTACCGAGTAATAATTATAAACCGTACTTGCCAGTAGCTTCGCGTCAAATTCTCTTATCAAGACTACGAAAATTTAACCTATTTTTTCAAATTCAAATTTCATTGTCTTGCAAATTAAAGTAATTACTTGCCAGGCTGTTACAAAGTTCAAAGAAAGTGATATTAAGAAATTGCCATGAGTAGACCCCCTCGCTATTTGTTTTCTTTTTTAGTAAGAACAACAGAGAGCAAAGATTAATGTAAGTCAACACCGATGGGCCGATGTACTACAAAATATTAATAATCATTAAAAATTTGACAATGTAGAATTCAAAACAAATCGAATTGTTTTCCTTAGTCGGCTAGCTGTTATAATTAATTAGAAAATAACAGGTGACAGCTACTAGACAGCCACTAGTCAGACTACGAGAAGCTCCCCTACAAGAAGCCCTTCCTTTTCTTATCGCGCGAATTAAAAAAAATGTAAAAAAATTGAGGTTGGCGTGGTGCGCTAACATCAAATTTTTGCCAGTATTTTTTTTTGTTTGCGCGAAAAGCTTGTATAACAAACGTTTGTCAATGAGAAACTCGCGCTTGCTTTTTTATGGTAGCCCGAATGGAAGAGGATGACTGAGGAAGGAACGCTTTTGTTGCGAACAAAAGTTCTTGTTATTTTCTTCGATCATGCAGTTAAACAATCATTTTCAATTATTATTGTTTCGTTTACCTTGAGAAGGTAATAACACTGACCGTGTACGTGCTTGGCACAAGTTCGATACAGGTGGGCAAAAATAAGGTATAACACAGAGAGTAATTGGGTTCTCGAGACAACTGCCTTTTTAACTACAATTTTTTTCTCTCTCCCGAAATGCTCTGAACAGGAGATCTTGTTTAGTAGTTACGCTAGGAATAGTCAACTCTGTGCTTGTTATAAACCTCAGTTCTATCTGTCTGGTTCTCACATAGGAGGCTAGGCTAAGATTATAGCTCCAACTGTATTTCAAATTTTTTTCCAGCGAGGATGGCTCGTGTGAACTCAGGAAGTAACTGAAGTGGCTTAGACCTCAACTTCTTTTTCACTTTAGAGACCAATCGTTATTTATGGCTTGAAGGAGAAGGGGGAGGAGGGAGTTCGTCGGATTTTGCTTGTGTCACAATAATATTATCTGATCCCCGTAAGGCGTCGCAACATTCGAATGATTCCCCCCTTTTATCACTTTAGGGACCAGTCGTTAATTATCGCTTGAGGGGGGGGGGAGGGGGGGTTCCGTCGGATTTTGTATGGCTCTGTAGCATTCTAATGATTCCCCCTCTTCTCATTGGCAGTGAGATTTCTATCTTCGTCTTCTAGAACTCTATTCTACTCTGCCCAATAGACAGCTGATCCTCTCACTTTCCTCTATAAAAACCATGTGATGCCCCCGAAAATTCTCCCCCTACCCCGTGATAAATAATTACTGATCCCTTTACTCATGGATGATTAAAAAGGCTGCCTTGGACGATTGTCTGATGCATCTGTATGTGCGCGCGATATTGACATTGGTTTATACCAATACAGTTATGCAACGTAAAGTTCATCAATGCTTTCGTTTTGTTTTCCTTAAATCTTTTAAAATATTTACACAGATCATATCATGGATCTCTCAAGTACTCGGGAAAAGGAAGAAATCAGTCACCTCTAAATCATTAATTGACTCAAGTTTCAATTCTTTTGTATAGGGAAAAAACAAACTTTGATTTGTATCTTTAAAATAAAATTGTTTTGAAATACTTCCAAACTTTGTCATTTTGAAATCATGAGCCCTCTCACAAATAACCATGAGAAACATTACTTTATCCTAAACAACATTTAGCTCCCCTGAAGAGCAGGCGTAATTTTGGTGTACGAGTGCTCAGTACAGTCTCGGTGAAAATTATAGCTATGATTTTTACAGCAGCGGAAGGCTGGGAAAGAAAAAGAAACTTGCACCAAGGGGGTGAGTGACGGTCAAAGGGAAAGAAAGGGTGGGGCAATAGAAATTCGCCCTTCCCCTCCAACTCACCCTACGGCCACTCTAGCTCTAAATCAATCATGCCGGTCGAATAAACGATCGCGAGGTTGTAACATTTACTAGCCCTAATCAGACGCCTCCAGTGGAGGCTAGCTCTAAGTCTGACGACGATGAAGTCTAGAAGTTCGCTTGTTATCAAAAAGCTCTTTATTGCCAAGTATTTTGAAGTTCTTAAAGTCCATTTCAGAAAAATTAAATGCAGTCAACAAGAATCACAGCTTAAGTCCCAAAAGAAATGCTTGACAAACCTGCAAGCCACAAAAAGATGCCTTAGGACGCATGAAGAACAAAGGAAAATTATGTAATAGCTGTTGATATGCCATAAATTCTTCATGTTCATTCTCGAAACAAGAGGCCCACGGAAGAACTGCAGAAGATATCTTAAACCCAACACTTACTCACCGTGTTGGGAGGCATCATTCATAGCCCAAGATATGCAGTAATGAGAGAGAAGTTGATGTAAAAGATCCACTTCATCAAGGAATTCTATTCTCTCTATTCTGGAAAGCAACACACACGTTAAGAAAAAGTATTAGAGTTGAACGGTTGATATAAAGTAATAAAAGGCAATAAACTATCAGACCGCGAGCACGATTAGCTATTTACTCACTAGCACCAATTGTAGCGGAGCTCGCAGCGCGCGTAGCGAGGCTCCATACTTATCAAAATGTTAGTAATCCTTATTACTACTCAGCATCGACACAGCGCTTGTTAGCTCAGTCGGTAGAGCAGTGGATGATAGTGACAGCAAAAGTGATAAGGATAATGATGTTGACGAGATGATAAAGCTAAAGATAATTATTCAATTTAATTTATCTTTCATGTCTCAACCCCGGCACAATTCCTATAGATATTTTCACGTGTTCACACTCACTATTCATTACTTTAGCTATTTACTCACTAGCACCAATTGTAGCGGAGCTCGCAGCGAAGCTCCATACTTATCAAAATGTTAGTAATCCTTAAGAGAGATGCCGAGTCTGGGAATCAAACTCGGCATCTCAACAGCTGTAGGAGGAAAGTGCTCTCGCAACGGAGCTGACACTGTTCCTACATAAACAAAAAGCTAATTCATCAAACTTGAAGATTCCACACACCTGGCTCTGTCGTCAGTTGGTAAACTGTTGTAAATACCCATCATGTCTAAGACTTCAGCTTCATTCCAGTTGTTCGACAAAAATCTTTGTTTCTGTTGAGGGGTAAAAGTTCAATGTATTTATTATGTAAAGTTGCCATAGATTCCGTAGACCATCTAAAAGCGGCGACTGTTTCACTTAAGAGTCAATAACGTTGACCCAAAAAGTAAAAGTGACTCACATGAGATTCGAGGTCTGGACAGGCATTTGCTCCCAGAAGCTCACAATTTCTGCCCTAAAAGACAAATATATCCAGATTCGTGCTTAGGTATTCCATCTGGTTTCTACAATCCGACCATTTATACTTTGTGTAGTACTTTAAAACACAAATGAAGGAAGGAAAAAGCACAGACGGCATAACCTTAGCTATGTGAGGTTGTGAACCCTCGCATAAGATACCATCCATTTAATTAAAATGGCTTCACTTCTGAGGTTTGGACTGAGAAAATGCATGGTTTTGCAAACAATTGTTAAGACTAACGACCCTCGAGAATCACCGAAAAACAGCGTGAAAATGTTATGTGGCAGTTAGATCAAGAAAACGATCATTCTTACAGTATTCATTTAGCCCACTATTCTTATTCACACGGCATTTATTTACCCTAAGATTCTGGATCATAACTTGACCAAATCTGTTCTGCATATTCACCTGAAAGTAAATAACACCAAAACAGTCACACGGTTAACTCCTATACTCAATCACCAAGGTTCATCCTAGTTCCCATGGAAATAGGCCCTCTCGACTCTGTTTAAAAAAATAAATGTTCAGATAAAAGTTTCGGCCAAATTAAAAATCATGCTTAGAACGCGTTTTGTTAACAACGGCTAAACTTTGTTTAAATAACCAGCCTCAAGAAGTATTGGTTCTTCTTCTGGATGGGACGCCTGTCTCTCGCGGGTTATCCTCTGCCTACCCCCTTCACTTCTTTAGCTTCCTCTGATTGTTTGCCTTGCGCGGATTTAAATCCCTTGGCAGAGCAAGACATTGTGAGAGAAAAGTGTAGAGTCTTGCCTATAAAGACAACGTAATGACGCTGACCAAGCCTTGTATCTGGACCTTTCGAACAGGAAACCAACGTGTTGATCTTTTAAGGTCTCCCATACAGCAAAATAATGAAAGTGCTTGTCCACATACTGTAACTTGAAGCTGGGGCTTCTCAGGGCTCTTTATACAAATTACAAATGCATAAATGAACAAATTATTATATCAAGGACGAAATCCTTTGATGGTCTCTTGAGCGCCGAGGTTTCCTTTTTTCCTTGTTTCATCGAGACTCTAAATTGCACTTACTTGTTCATAGTTTATAAACACAGCATTTTTAAAATTGGATCCAGCCCAATTAATGATGGCTGCTGAGTGTTCGGGTTCCATATAAATCAGGACACATTCTGTGATAAAAACTGTTGGAAGGCTACAGGAGAAAAATGGACACCCATGCCAGCGTTAGAAATGAACATTTTCAGATCGTTATATCAACATTGCTGCTGATCAACATACACATATGCAGCCCACGTCAAATCTAAAATTCTCGGAACTCAACTCTCTATTTAAGGTGCATCAGAAGTCCTTTGCTTCTATTTACAAGAGGGTCTTAGTTAACGTTAAAACAGCAAAAAATTAGCCATTAGGCGTAAGAATTGACAAATTTTAACCCCTGGTTAACCTTAAAAAATGTATTTTAACTGAAACGGAAACAAATCAACCGTGAGCTGTAAAAAGGCCAAACTTTTTAACGTTAGTCTTAAAAGCTAACAAGAACACGGCGTACACATCGTTTCCAAATCGGCCACAATGCTCAGGTAGAATTTAGTGCACCATAATCATCCAGTGGAACCATCCATGCGAGACAGTAGACAAGCTCCACAGAAGCAAGAAAAATTTTACTCAGGGTAGCTATTTGAAAACTGAAAATTCCACATTCCTTTAAGATATCATTCCTTTTGCATTTTTACCTTTTATCGATTCCTGTTTCTTTTAGTTTTTTTTCTAACGTATGGATTTCTCTCAGATCCACAGCTAGCAGATGGTAGTGTTTAGAATGAGCTTCATTACCATCTGCAATTCAATTAATAGTACCAACAGATAATACGAAAATGGCTGGTGTGAATTACAGACATAACAAAAAGGTCGGGGCACAGGCAGACAAACCTAAAATGGCTGCTAGGAATTAAAGACATGAGAAAAAGGTCAGGGCACAGGCAGACCAAAAAAATAATATGAAAATGGAAGGTGTGAATTACAGACAAGACAAAAAGGTCAGGGTTCAGGTGAACCAAAAAAGTTCTCCTCCTCTTGCATTTGATACAAAAAAAAAGGCGTTTAAAACAGCTTGGAGAGGCTTAATTTAGATAGTAAGTCCAAGATACATTGAAAATTTTTATTCAGTACTTTTCATTCGTAACCGCCATAAATTTTCTTTTAATTCTTTCGTATGTCCTACATGCCAACACCCTTAAAGAGCGGATTGCCTGTGGTTAAGGTTACTTTACTTTTTTTTTTAGAGAGGGAAGCGCAATAACCTGTTACAGTTTTTTAATCTGCCGCCCTCAACCCACCCATCCTACCCTAGGGGAGGACATCCATCACACTGTAATCTCGTGCGTGGGAAATTAACGTCTCCTACCCCTAACCCTGCAGGAGACGGGTAGGACCTATCTGAGAAGACTAGAATATCTAACCATTTCTTGATGTTATAGAAAGGCAGCATATTCTTCTCAATTATTTTAAGACCTTGAGTGTTGGTCCGGCCGGGGCTTGAACCCTCGACCTCCCGCACAAAAGTCCAGCGCTCAGTCCATTGAGCTAACTGGGAGGCGGTTTAAGGTTAGTTTCAATCTACTAGAAGAAATCGATACATTTTCACCTAAGTGTCAAACAAATCCTGAAGGCCAGGCATTCTTGGGTTTAAGTGGTTTTTTTGAGTGATCGATGAAAATGAAGGAAGTGTCATATTTTCTACTGCTGTGGTTGGTCGTTGTATAATTATCTTGCTTTTATGACAATCACTTGAAAGCGCTCAAATCTGGTGTGAAAGCCGGTAGTCTGTCAGCCTGCAGAGCAAGCGTAATTTTGGCGGGCGAGCGCTCAGTGTTTTCTTAGCGAAAATTATGCCCGCCATCTTTGAATTTAATGGAAGCGGAAGGCTGGGGAGAAAAAGAAATTTGTACCGAGGGTGTGAGCGATTGTAAGAAAATAAGAAGGGGGTGAGGGTGGGGGAATGAATATACTCTTCACTCCATCCCGTCCCCTCCCCCACACTACCGTCGACTCTATCTCCAAATCAGACATAGAACGATCGTGCGCTTCTTTTAACTCGCCCTGCAGGTTAGTAGTCTCTCGAATATGTAACTCGATAAAAATAGCTTCACAATCTTGTCATACATATCACCACTTCGTAAATAGGATTTTTCTTCTAAGTAAACCAGTTATATACCAAAGACAAGACCTACCAATTCTCAAGCCATCGTCTAGAGAAAATGCTTCTTGAAGTTTTCTTCTAGTCCTTAAGGGAAGACAACTCCGTATAAGAATTATAAACACACTGGAGCACCGGATTCCACATCGTATGTAGTTATTTAGAGTCTAAAAGAAAAATATTACCAAAGGAAAAGTATTGCACTATTCTTAGAAGTTTTCTTTGCCTTTCACTTTCTACACAAGGAAACTTCTCTGTCCACCAAACACGTCAAGCCTCCATTAGTTTTACGGACCGATTAAATTTCCGGGTATAAAGGCCTCGTTCCTTGGAAAGGTTGGCTCATGTACTTCACAACCTTCCTAACCTGTGACGTACATCCATACTTGTTTGACTTACTCGAAAGTCTAGGAGCATTACCTCATTATCGGAATGGAGTAAGGAGAAACTTGCCAGACTAAACAATACTCTGTTGAAGGTTTGTTATGTCTGTTATGTTCTACGGTCAGATGGCAGAGGCTAACTTCTATGAAATAGCGTCGATTATAAATGACAGCTCTACGTTCTCTAACGGTTCATGATACGAGAAAAACGGACAGAGTTCAGTTCAGTGTGGTGGGATTCAGTTTACTTTCCTTACCCAGGGTTACTTTAGTAGCTACAGCAACAAGGGAACGACTGTTTTTGAAAGCCAGTTTCCTGCTCTGTTGTTCAAAAGAATTTAGACCTTGGACATAAGAGCAATAAACTGTTGAAAGTCATTTGAAACCTAACTGATTTACAAAGCTCGCGCCTCCAAACCTATGCCCCTCAAAAACTTTACCACCAGGATGTTGTGAACAAACATATAATACTGCTTTTCACCTTCCTAAAGGTAAAGTGAAAAATTATCTTGACGCAAAATTAAGCCGAAGCTGTTCACTGCCGAAGGAGCAAATGCTAAGCACACCGGTAAAGTGTTTGAATTGTGTCGGTGATGCTTCGGTTGAGTGTAGGACGACAAGCCGCTGATGCGACCGCAGCCGAAGGCTGTCGGTATCGTGTCGATAGAGTATCAGCCGATGCGTTTTTGGCGTCGGAAGTGCGTTGGTAATACGTCGGTAGAGTTTTGACTAATGCACTGTTTTGTGGGCTAGCAGGAAGGGTGTTGGTAATGTGTCAGTAGAATGTAAGCTAACGCGTTGCAGTTGTTGGTAAAAAGTCAGTAGAGTGTTGGCCAATGCGCTTCAAGTGTGAGCGCGTTCGGCAAGAAGTCGGTAAGTTGTCAGCCGACGCGTTGCTACCATCAGGGGCGTGACGGTAATACTTCGGTAATGTGTCAGCGGACGCACTGTTAGTCTCCACAATCAATGCAAAGAAAATGCAGAATTACTTGGCCGATGTGTTCATTGGACCAAATTCTTCACCTTCCCACAAAAGCCACAATATTATATAGTACTCTAATACAAATACTGGCTTTAAACCAGGATGAGGAAACCATAGTATTTGATCGTGGGCTCGTATTCAAACTTGCCTTATACTGTAGCACTTTCTACTTGTCACACTCGCAAAATCTACTTCAACAAACAGCTTGGGTGCTAAGTTTTCCTCCTTTAAGAGATCCAAATTATACACATTACTAAAAACACTACCTCAAGTGACAATAGCAATTGCAATGGAGTAATAGAAGCAATTGCAATTATAGTGTACTAATTTACACAGGTGTTCGTCATTAACAAGTCCAGATTGTTGTATCACGGGTTCTTCAGTAAGAGAAAAGTTAACAGAGCTCTCTAAAGACGCGGCTTATCGATCAAAAATTTTAAACCACAGTTGTGTCGGAAGCGCTGAGAGAAAACAAAAATAATCAAAGATCGAATTTAAGCGACCTATGCCATAATTTAAGCGGTAATATGCCAAAAAGTGCCATAGGGGCTCATTTTGTTAACTTGATAAGCCACCCAATGTTGTATGCGACAAACATTACGTCGAACAAATATTTCATCGTTTAGCCAGGGCTCTGAGTTCTCCTCCATGGGCTGATATAATATTTTGAGACTTAACAAATATATGTTTGAATGCAATAGAAATGTAAGCAGAACATAAGAATGGAAAGGGAAAAAATGGCAAAAACAATAACACACAACAAACACTCTTTCATTTTATTCAAATGATCACAGTCAAAACCTTATTAAGCTCCTACCTGTTGAACATACAACTCTTTTTGGCAACAATGGAAACATCACAGCTGTTCAGCAGGTTGACTGCTGACATTTACATTTAGAGTTCACTTTCAATTCACAAATTTAAATTCTTATGATCATTGAGCCATGGTTTCAACATGAGTACAAATGTTAAGATCTTCTGAACCTCAAGCAAAATTTTCGTATCTACACATCCACCTTTATCAATAAAGTGAGATGTTGGCTTACTCATGGGGAGAATTTTGTCCTGAAAAATCTCAGGACAGACCTTAACCAAACCCAAGATCTGAACAACTGGGACAGAACTCATTATAATTAGAAACAAATTAAAACTTGTTTAGAGGAACATTATTTGCATCTCCTTCTATGAATGAACCAAAACTTACCAAAATTAATATTACTCACCTTTAAGAGCCAAAAGAGGGAATCAAATCCTGCTCCGAGATTAATAACTTGACAGTTACATTCTGTTTTAGCAAGAAACTGGTTCAGCAGAGTGCGCATACCTTTGACACGAGCATAGTAACCTGCACAGAGGCAATAGACTCCACTTAAAACTTGCATGCAATAATTTAATACATGTAAGTTAATCATACAATTATATTTTTAAAACTAACTACTGACAAACTTGCAGTTTTGTTCAAAGATGGCAAAGATGAATTAAATTCAAGGTGCTCAAATTTCTCATACCAGTGGTAAATGAAAGCTGATTTTGGAAAAGTTTCGTGAAAAGGTGAGATCTTCATGAACCTTGCAGTCCATAGCTGCCTTCCCTAGGCACATCTCTTGTTTTTGCAGTTTTTGCTTTTGTGTCTGGGGGTTTTGTAAGTGCCTTGAAGTGTCACACGATGGAGCCATGCAAATGAAGAGAGATAAGAGATTTGTGACAGAAACCAGTAACACCTTTTCCCACTTGCAGCTTTGCTGTGTTATGGTTTGGTGCACACCCACAAAACCAACAACTGCACAGGCCACAGCCTGAAGTGAATAAGAGAATTGCTATTTCCACTTGAAGGGATGCTAGTCCATGGCAAATTAGCTCAGTGAATTTCTTCAAATTTCTTTGACAGCTCACCAGTACCCATTTAAACCCCTGGATAAAAATACACTGTGAGAGTAAAGTCTCTAACCCATGAACACAGCACAGAGACCTTAGCCAAGGTCATACCATGAACCACTAAATGTCTGCTATGTAATAAAGTTACCTCTGTTTATTTCTGGAGTCTTTCTGTCTCCTAGTTTGGCAAAGTGTTGAATTTAATTGTCTGACCAGTAACCCAACTGGACAGCAAACCTAAAATCAATCATGACAAACAAGCAAGGGTGAAATTGTAGCAATTTCATTAAGAAATAAACTAATAATAAAATGAAAGAAGTTTTTAGCCAGAACTTCAGCCAAAAAATTTGGAATGATATTAAATCATAACCATATGGTAACTTAACACCAGAAGGCAGCGTGGTCAAGTGGTCAGCGTGTCGGACCTGCGATCTGCCGCTCCTGGGTTCAAGTCCCGCCCTGGCCACTACCTGGATTTGTTTCACGGTAGCCCCGAGTTTCAAATCCTCGGCCATGCTTGTAATATAGCTAACTGGTTTGCCTTCGGCCAGTTGGGATTCTTAATAATGTTATTTTCAATTTGAATTATTTGTTTCAGTTGTTTGGTGGAAAAGCTGTAAACTAGCCTCTAGCTAAGTGTTTCTCCACGTTAAAAACTGTTTATTATGATTATTATTTACAGGAGACCCTTTTCTCCGAGTGGGGGTCAGTCAGGGGTTAAGCAGGAGGAGAGGTAATACCCCTAGTTCCTGCAAAAGTGCTGGCTCACACTCCCTCAGGTGTTGCAGAAATGAAGACCAAAAACCAAAGATCAATTACTGATGGGTCTTCAGTCTTCAAGTTTAGGTTGTTGTTCCTGAAGTACCCCCCCCATTCACAACATGTTTGTCAATAGTATAAGGATAGCAAGCAAAGATGGTAAGCGCCTCACTTTTTAGTGTTCATGTTAAGGATTATCAAATCTCAACCCTTCTAACAAGGTTAACGTGGATATTGACATGGATTAACCTGCAAAGGGGGAGCTAACCCAGCTTGACTACTTCTCCATGCAAACATTTGCAAGTACTTGACCCGACTGCAAAGGTTACCCTTGGTGGGGACTCAATTCAGGTTATCAAGTAGTCCGGGGTTGTCTAGAGACACCCTGAGTTACTGGCTGTGTATCTCAGTTTGAAGACAGACACAAGGCAATCTATTTTCAAAAACTTTCTTTGATGAGTCTTAAAATGAGAGCTAACGGTTTAGCGATCTGATATCAGCTTCCAAAATAACAAAGCTGAGCAAACGAAAGTGGAATGATCGAGCGGACAATGTACCCCTTCCTTTCCATTAGGGCCTCTGATCGTAACACTCAAAAGCCTCAGTAAACTTTTCATTCCACATGTCCCATTAAAAACTAAATTCCCAAAGGTCGTCAGCTGAACTATAAAATTAATAAGTTTCATATCAGGAAATAACTAAGCTCGCCTGATAATTTGTGTTGAGTAGCCTTCGTTTCCCTTCTGATTAAATACAACGTTTAGAGAACTTGTTCTTTCCTACCTCTTACAAGTCGTAGCATCGTCATTTGTGGAAATCACAGCCTCATCCTGTGACATTCTTTACTCACGCAAACATTTACCTTCTACGACAGACCTCCACTTATTTCAAACAGGCCGCCATGTTTACTTGCGTCGCGAATTGCATTCTGGGCTATTTCCTCGTTTGGAAAAAAAAAAAGGAGATAGAAAGAACGAAAGTAAGTAAGAAAGAAAGAACATGGGAAGAAGAAAATCGACGTCATTTGTTCCGAAATTGAAAAGATTTGTAATATTTCATTATCCCCTGGTCTTCCATTTTCATTTCGTTTCTCATTTGAATACCTGACCAAAAAAATTGGCGAATTTTAGCCTAGGTTTCTGTGTTTATGGCTTGGAAGTCTAGGGCAATGTTTTCTTTTGGGAAGGGGGGGGGGGAAGAATTACATGATTTTCAGGGGGAACAGAGGGGGTTCAGTCGATGCCAACTGAGTCTAAAAGATTGACTGCTAATTAACTACCAGTGAGGGAGGACCCTCGGATCCTTGGGGATACCTAATGACTAGTCCCTTAGAAGTGGTTACTACACGCGAAAGGGTCAGTGATTCGATTGGTTCCTATGTTCTCTTTTTCCCCAAGAAAATCAGACAGAGGGGTGTTTGAGATAGGGAAGACAGTGACACCCAACTCATATCAATTTTTTTATTTGATTCAGATGAAACTTTGCACAATCTTTTCAGTGGTAGAATTGACAAGCAAGCAAACCTCTTACACTCACTTTATCATTGAAATTAACTACAAAAATCAGTGGTGGAGGCTAAAAGAGATTACAAGCACTTAAAATGGCCTCACTTTTATCTGTTAAATTTCATAAGAGAACAAAAGCAGGAGCCTCTGCAGAATAAGCCATTAAGGGTGTTGTATTTATCGTCTAGGGCCTGAGAGCAATGTTATTTGTTTTCTGTAGAAAACATAAATATCAAATTTGGCCTATTATGTGTAGTTTAAAATTAAGCTTGCAGACTCCAGGATAGCAGCAATAATTTAAGTTACAAAATGTAAGATTATTTGTTCAAGCCAAATACTCATCTAGATAGAATTCTTTTTTTTTTCTACTGAAAATGTAGCATAAAGTGAATAATGAAAGTCCTTCACACATAAACCACTTTTTAACCACCAGTCAAGCTGACCTGACATAATTTATCACCAAGACCGTGCTCTGAAAAGTTTCACTTGAATATTTTAATCCATTTTCAAGGTTATGATCACCCAAGTCACTTAAAACTTAGTATGTAACACACGTATCTGTTTACATATCACTCGCCACAATGAGCAAACAAAATAATATTCATGTCATCATCTGGTAACCAGACAACAACTTATTTTTCTTACAAATGATAGAATAACAGGATTAATAATGACTGTCTCCTAATCATGCTAAGGAGTTCACTCTGTGGTGAAGGATGTCCATGTGAAAGAGCAAAGGAGCTTGGAACTAAATTAGAAAGGCAAGGTCTGCCTAAGGGTGATACTAAATGAGCACACTCATAAAGTCTAATTGAGAAATTCCACTTAAAAGGCAGTCTGGAATAAATGTGGTGAAAATGCTTGCTACAATGTATGTCAAGCAATTACCCAAAAATGACATACCCTACTGGCTTAAAATGAAGTGTTTTCTCTGAGGTGCATAAAGTAAAGCCTGAAGAGACTTTTGATGCAAAATCTACTTCTCTCTCTGTTTCACAAGGATCACATGACAACTTAGCATGAGAATGTGGCCCTCCATCAGAAGTCAGATAAGCTTTTTTTTCATGTACCTCTTCTTTTCTATCACAAAAACTAATGTAACAAAAGAATTGATGAATATAACGCCTTACAGGTGTCCAAGTTCATTTCACATGACAAGTCCCCACTCATATTTTCTTATGTATCAAACAATGACAAGAAGCTCACTCAGTCAATTTATGATATTCAGTACCCTTAATGCAGCCAGTCCTTAATCTTATTTCAAAATGAAACTTTTGCCAAAGATATGATATTAATAATAAATAATTGTTTCAATGGGATTGAAAGTGGGAAGATAAAGCCTTACTAGTATCTTGAAAATGGTTTAGCTCTTAATTAATACACAAATCATTTTTCAATGATTCTCTCACTTTAAAAGAGGAATGAAAGCCTATAACTACCAATCATTCACTGAAATGGAGGTAAGTAGTGGTGGAAATATTCTCCACTTTCACAGACACTAAGGTGAGTACTTGTCGTAGTATATACCATACTGTAACCAAAAAGTAGTTTACTTTGATCAATAAACCCAAAAATGGTCAAAAATTATACTCAGAAACCTTGACTTTGTCTCTTTGGCTGCTTGGATAGTACTTGCTAATTACATCTGCACTGGCCAATCAGCACATGCAAAAAGCACTCTTCACCTGTGTGATATATACTAATTATAATTACTGTTTCCTTTTTAAATTCATTTTGGAGTAGACATTATAGTACATATCTTTGGCAAATAGTTTGTTTGCTTGAAATAAGATTAACCTTTGGAAGCAGCCACCAAGGTTAAAAAGTATCTATTAGAATATATAGTATGTTTATGTTACATGTGCATTGTTTATTTTAAAAAATATAAAAAGCTTCCTCTTTAATTACACCTCAACAACTACCAAGATCACTTTGATTAAAGAAATACTGCAAACAGAATCAAATTGCAGAATTCGAATTGGTTGATACATAAGCACACCTTAATATGAGATCAAAACATGCTATGGAAAAACAAATGCAGCCCTCTTTGGACAAAAAAAACTGCTGTTACCAGTCCAAACAGCCTGCAAGCAAGCTCTCATAGGCACAAGTGCATCAACCAGTAAGCAAACGAACAAAAAATCCTGGGCCCATCTCTCAAAACCATGTTTTAAAATAGACATTTAAAGGATAGGAAAGGAGGTTCTGGCACCAAAACCAGTCCTTATTGTTTCTTTAGCTGATAGTTTTAATGTATCATTTTCAAAACGTTTGAAATTTCCACATTGAATGAAAACAGAACAGCTTTACAGGCCTGTTAAGTGACCGGGACTTTTGAGAAATGGGCCCCTGGACCAATGTCTATATCTGAGCAACTGCACACCTAACCCTTCCTTAATCCAACAACAGTGAAATGATAACAAGTTAGGGGAGGGGTAGGTGGACAGTTTATCAGAAAATGGCATTGATCCATAAATCTTTTGTCTGACCCATTGTTAACCACTGGTACTTCAATTGCTGACCTAACTTGACTCTCGTGGTTTCACCAATATTGTACTGCAATACTCATGAGAACCTGCTCAGAGGCTAGTCTTGATAACTTAATTGTTGGATTCTCCTATTAAATTAATTTGAATTGAACAATTCATATACAACACCCCAATCATTACACACAAACACCAGTTGATTATGAGAAAATTTGACTCTTCAAATGCAATTCTTTTTGCTTCCTCAACCTTTGATTTGGAAAACCAGGATGCTCATTCAACCCTGATATCTAGAAAAAACTAATCAAAACTTTTCAGTGAATTAAACATCTATGAAGGGAGTTCTCAAATTGTTATAAAAAGCTATTCCTTTTGCAGACTCCCTCGACACCAAAAACCATCAAATGAACCACAACAACTAAAGGTTTCCATTTCTGTTACAGCTGGGGGTTTGAATAAATTTTTCTGAAAGTAGCTGCCAATGGTATAATAGATAGCCAAACAAGAGAGCTACTCGCAGGCTTCACAGCAGGGGTAGTAAGCAGCTTTTACAAAAAAACCTTAGTGGGCTGGATGGATAGAAATGCTTGGCTTATGCAACTTAGCCAGAAATAGGACTGTGATGAAGGTTAGTATTTGGAAATCCTGATTTTATCTTAAGGGTTACATGAACTGCAGTTATGGAAATTTTTCTTTTAATTTCAGCTGTGAATGTGCTCCATTTTCCAAATCAAAGGTTGAACAGTCAAAAAGATTTTGCAGCATCTTACCAAATTTGTCCACAATAAATGTATTGGCAACACCTCTCCAGATTTATTTGGCAGGATTAAGTCTTTAAAAATAAATACTCCAAGGTATTGGGAATCTTTAATGACTGTAATTAGCAACTTGCTTTCATACAGTATCACTGTAATTAAATATTCTTAAATGTCTCACCATTTTAGATATGGAATCTTTTTTGTGCTAATGCAATCTTAATCTATGTTACAATAAAATGCTTTGACAGCAATACAAAATATCTGTACAAATTGAACACACAAATTCTACTCTGAATTTAAAACTGGATTGAATTTTCATGCAACTTAATATTAAAATTGATTTTTGACCTCCACCTTGAAATTCACCTCAGGAATTGGAATTCAAAGGGAGTACAAAAAACCAAACTCCGTCTGGTTAATTGAGCTGTTTTTCAAAACTTCTTGCTTTGATTTCATTGTTTTTTTTTGGCAACACTTGCATCAACACTGACCAGAATTGCTCAGAATGTTGTGAAAAGCAGCTCTTCTTCACAGCACAGTCAGATTTAGTACTCTCTCACATATTTCTTCTATTACACCTGAACCTTAACCAGTCCCTGCATCCCTGGTGTTTGGTAACTGCTCTTGGGAATTCTGCTTGGCCTGAAATTATAAGATAGCATAATAAGACACATAAAAAAAGAAGACAAAAAGAAGAGGAACAAAAACTCATTTTCACTCATTCTGGACAAAACAAGTTTTACCAACCCAGACCGGGAAAAATGTTATGTTTCTTGTTTGAGTTAGTAAACTTAAAATTATCAGTGTGATGAGTGATTACCTTGGTGACTCTGAGGGGCTGTTAGACCCAGTTGATCCTCTTGGATTTCGAGGTTGATCTTTCACAAAGTTTCGACATGAGGCCAGTTTAGATTCAAGGGCCTAATTTACAGGAGAGAGCAAAGTAATATTAGTTCAGTAGAAATGAAATAAAAGGAAGTATGTACCAACAAGTAAAGCTGACAAATTTCATTAAGACTGCTATGTGTTCCTTCCCAGAGTCAAAATACATGTAACTGACTTACCCCAACTTTTCTCAACAGATCACCCACAATGTTCAGTGCAGATATTCGTGCAGATGGAGTCAGCGGTGAAGTGCCATACCCTGTATGAAGTGGTGATGTTCCTATTGAAGCAGTTGTAGCAGGGAAATCTGCTGTCTGGCTTGTAGTTTCTGCTTTCAGTGGAGATCCCTCTATTTTAAATGGCTCTTTATTTTCTTTGTTGCTATCTTTGTCTTTGCTAAATTCTAATCCTTCTCCAGGTTTTTTTCTCTCTTTTTCTTTCACTGCAAGTTCTTGTCGAAGATCTGTGCACAAAAACCACCATTTCGCAACCAGAATTAATTCACAGAACACAGATAATTTTGGTTACTTTTTAATGGACTTTTCTTTAATTGCTAACAAAATGATGGAACATTTTCTTTTTTCGTTATTTAAAGGAAAACAAACTTTGCAAAATAAAATTTTGCAATTTAGGGAAACTGAAACTCTAACTTAGGCATTTTCTCCAGGCTATAATGAGCCCATTTATAAGAAACCTGGTTAATGAGATCAGGGGTTCTCTTGAACATGTCTATAAGGTCAAGAATCGTGCCCCAGGCAAAATCTAGAAGTTAAGAAATGTTATTTTTCATCTCAAGTGGGATACTTCTTTCTAGAAGACAGTTTTGTACAGCTGTACTCTAGTGCCTTCACAGAAAACTGCAGAGTATGTTGAGTTAGTATGTCAGTTTTTGGAAAACCATCGGGTTTCAGAGCACTTTTCATCTGTTGGTGTTAACCAAATACATCAAGGAATGCACTTAAATTCCTAAGCCTTGTTGATTATCTTAAGCTTCCATGACCCTTGGATTTGTAACCAGTAATATTCTCCTTCAAACCTTCACTTGGGAAAAACCTTCTGCTATTTGAGTATCAAGTTTAATATAGATGACACGTTCATATCCAACAGTATCCTTGCCAAAATAAACAACACAATATTCAAGAGCATCCAATATCAATATTTGGGTTTGTTTAGCAACATAGTGATATAATTATTTCAACAACTTAATGATGCTTAAAATAGTCGATTACAATATAATATGGAGTACATAAATTCTTGAAAAGCAGCAAGAGTGGTTAACACACTATGCTAAAGGAACAGAGAAATGAATTTACAAACACAAACACTTCTAGAAATTAAGCATTTCATGCATGAAAACATTTGCTCCTTAAAGTGAACAATGTGTGCCTAAATGACCACTTGAGCTTGGTAAAACAGTCTTGACAACAATACAGCAACACGGCTGTGATAATTATATTGAAAATGCTTTCTTACCTCTTGCTTCATCTTTCAGTCTTTGTACTGATTCTTGGAGTGTCTCTTTTTCATCTAACTCATTTTCAAGAATAGCATTTCTTTCTATGGCCTGCAAGACAAGAACACAAAAATCTCCTATTAGTATTACTCAAAAGGATCATAGACTCCTCTACAATGAACCATGAATGAAGTTTTGGTCACTCCACAGTTTGTACAAGTTTAATATTTTTAATAACCATTTCGTGACAATTAATTCTCTATCTAAGGTGAATACAACCATCACTGGTAATAAAACTGTCATTAGATTACTATTATAATAATAATTTCAACCTTGGTGCTACAGTGGTTACCTGGTTTAGCTTCTGTTCAAAGTCTTCCAGTGAGCACACTGTCGCCCTGAAACGATATAAAAGAGCACCTTAGTAAATATATTTTAACAATATAATAATGAATACCTGATAACCAGACATATTTGCAGAATGATACAAAAATGCTAGCTATTTGGCAGCGCATATCCACAGGATAATCTTGTTTTCTTAAGTTTCCAATACAGGAAACTATGGGTGATAAGAGAATTCTCTGGCTCTACTGCAGATTTCTCCAGCAAAATGTTGATGGCATCAGCTAATCTTATTTAGCTGAGAAAATATTCTCTTGTATCCTGTTGCTTTGGTTTTTTCTCAAGCTACCACATTTCTTACTGCGAAACCTTGTCAAGAACATAACTATCGAGTCAGTCAGAGAGAAACACAGTTACAACAAGTTCTGAGACCATTTTGCAATAAGCAAAGGAGGACCGAGGAAAGAATCACTCAAACTAAACCTAAAAACCGAGAAAAACAATTAAGCGAGTTGGTATGAAAAAACCATTCCTCCCATTCAGAATTTCTCTCACATACATTAGAGATTGAATTTTAGCCTTCATTGCAATTTCCACCAGTTTGGTTCACAAACAGATGTCACAGCAGACCTTTTTTGCATGCGGCCTACATTGCCTATTTATAATAACCTTGATTGTACACCACAGGCATATCTTATCCATAAAAGGAAGAAGATATATAAACTGAAACCAATTTGAAACTCAATCCTTCACTTGTGAGGAAAGAAAACCAAAAACTTTTTGTATAGAAACTAATCAATAATATGTAACCAAATTGTGAGAAATTTCAGAGAAATTGTTACAACTAACTACACTTGTTTGAAACAGAAGTTTATTTACTAAAACAAAGTATTGTGATTCATGTCTTCATAGTTATCAATCATGAAAATGGTCTTCAAAACAAACAATGTTAAAAAACCAGAAAGAATTAATGTCACCTATGTTTCAAAATGGTTAAGAACCACATCAAAGAACATAGCAAAAGTCCAGCTCATTCATAACATTGTGGATAAGCCATGATCAAAGAGAGATTAAATTAAAAATGCAAAATTTAAGCGTCAGCATGGTGCCAATTTATTTTAACCCTACAGGTGTTCACTGTTCCTCTGAGGGCAACAAGCTACATTCTCCTAAATAAGAAATCTTTATCTCTAGGGACTAAAACAAGAACAGTTCACAAATGCAGGTATATAATAATTTTGTAATCACATCTTACTGTTTTCTTAAAGACAATGTTTTCATTTTATCATTATTTTCACACCATTAATTAGGAACTACAAAAGCCTGCATCTTGCCCTGAATACTTTTCTCCAAGATACACTAGGAATCATTCTTTCGGCAAAACAAAGGAGAATTGATAGAATGTAAATATTGGTTTACCCTGCTGGGTTTGACATTTTGTAAAAGTTTACCTAATTACGGTTATATTTCCACTCATAATACTAGGTCCAACATTAATTAAAAAAGCCAAAAAACAGAGTGAGAGAGAAAAACGAAGGGAGTGAAAAGGGTAATAAAACCCCAATAAACACGACAAAATTCCTTTGTAATTCAATGACATACAATTAACATAATATTTTAATCCTCCAACTAATGTAAAGCAGCATTTAACAAGCGACCTCTCTGTTATTGAGCAACCATCTCCTTGTGTTGAACTAGCAAAAACTCCCTTTAAAGTGGTAGTTCACAAAAGTAAGCGTCATATTTTTGAGTGCAATCGATAAAATAAAATCGCAAGTGCCCTAAGCTTATTGCATGGCAACAGAAACTGATACGGGGATTATTTCCCCGACCCTTGTCCCGTCGCTTCAATTTGTCGCATGCCACAAATGTATGTGCCGTACTTTCAAACACAAATTTTAACCGATAATATTTGAATAAGTTAAGTTGCGACATGTAAAAGCACCATGTCTATCAAAAAGTGATTTAATCTGTGGGCGACTACATAGATTACTAAACGCTAGCCAGTATAAAAATATTGCAGCCGAGTAAATTTGCGCAACTTACATTGGACAACATCAAATGCCAGTCAAGGGGGGCCAAAAAATATCATAAGGTCGTAATGAAATATGGGAAAATGATCAAAACTATGGTATAAATGTTGTTGTCAGCTATGTCCCAAAAACCAGCCAAATATTAACTTTACATTTCTTCTCTACAGACCTTTTCGCTCTTTCCAGATCGTCATTCGCCTGCTCGAGTTCCCGAACGTATTTTTGAACTTCTTCTCGAACAGCTTTCAGCTGCGCTACTTCATCTTGAAGCGCTGATATCGTGAGGTAGGATTCATTCTGGCTTGCATCTAGTCTCGCCTAAAACACGATCAAACAAAAAGTTAACGTCACATCCCGAACAGCCCAATGCAACAATCGACAACTCGGAAGACAAGATGGCCGGTGTACGCGAAGCAACTCTTGCATTATTTACAATGTTCCATTAACCAACAGACAAACTGGCGATACGCGAGTTACGCCATTAAATAGAATATTCTTTCCTTTACCTTTAAGCTTTCATTCTCCGTTTCTAGTCGTGTCTTAGCTGACAGAAGTTCCCGCTGTCTAGCTTCTGCTTGCTCTAACTGCGTTTCCAATTCTGCTTCTAATTCACGACTACCTTCTTGAAACTCGTCGAGTTCATCCCTTGCTTCTTGCAACCTTTCAACCAAAAGAAACGTGGAATTTGAATCTTCTATCATTTTTCTACTAAATCGTATGAATGTCAACGAAAGACAAGGCCTTCAAAACACTCACTTTCGCTCCAAATCCTCTGCCACTTGTTTCCAGTAAGTCGCCTCTTCCTTCGGATCGGCGAATTCCAATTCCTTATCGGCCGTAGAAATACTCATTCCCGGCTGTCGCATATGGACGGTAAGATGTTTTCGCCTCGAAATAAATTAAGAATTTAGCCTTCTACTAATCTATGGCAAGATGAAGGAGAAAACGGGCTCAAATAAGCCAAGATTTGCTTCACGTCTCGAAACCTCACAACGAAATTATCAACATGCAAACCGTTCCTCCTGATGACGTCAACTCGAGTGATTTGATAAAGGATTGTGGGATAGATAGGACGAAATCTGATAAAATGCCGCGCGTGGTTTCACGGTTTCTCATGATTGAATCATAGTACGTGTTTTATGGGTTATTGAATTTACCAATCAAACACTACAAGTAAATGTTCCTGCTTGATCGAATACCAACCATTCCGTGGAGCATGGCGTAAAACAAATGCTTGGCCGGTCATTGTGAATGCTCTTGGTTAAATATTCTCGGTCGGTCAATTGGTCAGCACTTGATTAATTTCGTTTCGAGAACATCAATTAAAATGAAAATATTAATACTTTCAAATAATTCCCCTTGTAAGCTTACAATGGCAACCAGCTCAAAATTTTGCTTCAAAGCTATTTTGATGAACCAAGTATTTGAAACCGGCGGCGGCATTTTCGATTACGTAACTACAAAATTTTCAAAGTTGCGTGGAGGCAAAAGAGAACTCCTTGTGAAACTGACTCGATTTCCAAGGAACATTTATTATTATAGCAGTACGGAGTTGGGTATCAAACCGCTGCGATTAGAAAGCTTTAATTTAGGAAACATTAGAAACTCATCCACTCCAAATTAGGGAGGGTGTATGTGATTTATTCGAAGGGTCACCGTAGCTTGTCTATCTTGAAAGAACTGAACCAGAACCGAGCATTTTAACCGCGACCGGACATAATTATCCTTCGCGCCCTGTAATTTAGAAAACCACTTCAAGAAATATGCAACAGCACGGATAACCTACGATCAGGCGTTCTTTTTTTCCCGAGCGCGAAAGTGTGCGGGCGCAAGAGCCGGTAGCTCTTTCGTGCTCCAAAAGAAAAGAACGCCCGATCGCAAGTTCGTGAAATCTGGTCACGCGAACAAGTTTCGCAGCGTGCAAATTGGCACGGGTTTTTATCAAAGCACGGTGTTTGCGTGACTAAGATATGGGTCAGTGATAAAATATTGCTTCGATTTTTTTTCTCTTCTTCACATGTATTTGTTTAGTGCAATTGCGTTTGTCGTGGTTACCACAAGATCGATACTCACCGGAACACTCAAGGGCGTAAAGAGTCAGACTTTCGAATCGAGTATTGAGAAATAAAAGAGGAAGTGTTCATGGGCCAGTATGCGGAACTGTAATTTACTGCTAATTTTCCTGTTGATTTTAGTAATTGTTTACCAAATTTGAAAAAAAAAAATCTGGCAAATATGATTTTCGGAAGAATTAGTTCGTCCGACTTCCTTGTTAGCTTAATCAATTCTTCGAGGAAACTACCGCTCTAAGTTGAATGGCTTTCGGTGCATAATTTGAGCGTCTCTGGCTTTTTATGAAACTCTGTTCAGTACCACATCGTTAGTTAGAATTACTCGAATGCGTTGGTAGCGAGGAATGCCGAGACTGGTTCTTAATCAAAACGATAAGAGCCTTGTTCAGTTCTTAACTTTTGCCATTAAACTAATTGAAAACATGATTCAAGTCGGAAAATTTGTCTTGGAAGTAATTAACATCTGAAAGACAGGCTAATTTTAGCGCGTTTGATCGTAAGAGTTTCTGAAATTAGGACCGGGGGTGATCCCATATTAGCTTCTTGAAAAATACCACCTGAAATATCGCAATATCCAACCAAGAATCGGGTCCTTTTATTTGCGTTTTGTTTGTTGCGCATTATCGTCAATGTCCACATCTTGTAAAAGTTTCGAAACTTGGTTCCTAGAAACTTCCCCAAGAGCTAGGTTTCGTTATGTGTTCTATTTACTGGGTAACTTCGTTGTATGAACAGTCCAAAGGAAGACATATTTCAAGTATTATTTGGATTGCTTAATTACAACCAGTGAAAGGAATCTGAAAACCGTGAGTATGTTCTTCCGAACGGAAGACTATTTTTGGTTTTTACGTGAGATAACTTCTTGAAATCCCACTGAAAATGCGAAGCAAAATATCCCGGAAGTTGATCTGCACGTCGTGTCTCCAGACGATCGCCTTCGAAGTCTAATCGGCATGGACCCACGGATTGCAAAATTATTCGCTGTGAAGGAGGGCTAACGCTCGAAACGTCAGCTTTTTAACTCTTTAAGGTGACCGATTTACAATTTCAACTTAGTTGATGTAACCAAATGAACTTGTTACCCCCACCGACGCAGCATCACAGTTTCTTTAGAAACTTACCCCCTTTTTGCAAAAATATAGTCATGCAAAATCAGTTTTAGTTAAACTTGAAGACCAAAGTGAATTGCCTTCAATAGCCCACCGCCTTAGGTCTGTGCCAGCTTTCAGACCTTCGAAAAATTTACTTCTTCAAATAATGCTTCCATAACAACCCGCGCTCTTCTGTTATTATCTAACCGGCCTCAAGTAAGAGCGAAAAACATTTTACCTGTGAGATATTATGGGTGAAAAACGTTCCCGTAATTCGTAGTTTTTCCCGTTTCTAATTCGAGGACTTTTTGCGCGTTAATTCAACTGCAGTTAGCTGTGTCGGGAAATCGTGTGTAAATGATGTTCAAGAAGAAAGACTGTCAATTTCAGCGAAATGAGGAGTAAATCTCAAACGAAGAAGTGTACAGGCTAAGCTTGAATCGGACGTATAAGCACGCAATGGAGTCGGATTCTGGCAAAAAACCGCAACGTTCAATTTGTTTTGCAGTTAAAAGGATACTTGAAATTCAGGCAGCAATATTCCTTCGTTTGCCAAGTGAAGATTTAATTAAGGAAAACACTAAATTTTGGAGAGGATGGCGCGTACCTGAAGAGGGTGCTTTTTCTTTCAGCTGTAGTAACACTACCCACCAGCTGGTCAAATTAGAACTTATCTTTTATTAGTGTTTGGCCTTTGTCAGGGAAAGGAACCTACCGGTCACTATTTATCGTGGTTTTCTGAGGCAACAGAGGAGGGATCAGTCGTCGCTGACAGAGTATCTAGTGGGACTACAATCGAACCTGTATTTAGCTGTACCGTATTAATTAAGCGATCACCCTGTATAAAGCATTTAATCGCCAAAGTCCAGAATTTTGTTTCTCCTTGATCACTGTAAATTTCACCCCTATAATGCGGTCATCTGCGGTCGCAGTCACCTTTTACTTAGTCCCCACGGCCTGTTCTTGTTGTCCTCCAACTGTGTTGAGCGGTTAATGCCGGAAAGCGAGACCACTCTAACGAAACTAGGAATAACCTTTTAAGAAATTTTAATCCATCTCAGTTCTCTCCACAAAATTAAAGTGATTTGCATGTTCAGTGTAGCGCGTAGTAGAGAAGTAGAATTAATTATCGTAATTACGAATTCGCCTCGACTACGCGCGGCGGGAAAATCAGGTCATGTGACTTATAATTTAAAATGAACAATTTATGCTGTAACAACATTCGAAGCTGGTCATCAACGGTCATAAAAGCGCAAACATCAAGATAAAGCATCGAGATAGCGAATCAAGGGAACTGACTACGCAGAAACACAAATTGTAAGTTACGAAACCGTTTATCATTTCGACTAAGAATATTGTAGATAATAATGTATCCCGAGATTATTTAATTTTCAGTTGACTACGACGTAACCACGGATGTAACGAGCCGTGTCTTACTTTAGTACAAATAAAACCTGAGAACGTTAATCCCTGGTGGGCTAATCTTCAGAATAAGTAGCCCCTTCAACGATAGGAGCGAATCATAAAGTAAGTAGAATTTTCGAACGAGACTCTGTCTTCTAACGTTTTTTATGATACTGCTAACCACTGTAACCTGTATTTAGGAGTCAACCTGTATTACTGAATCCGTGCGTACCATTCCCTGTGGGTGACCGTTTATACTATATAGAAAATTGACCGGCAATGAAGGGGAGGGGGGGGGGGTAATTGGCATTTTACAGTTACAGAGCCTGAGGGAAATTAGGTAAATTTTAATAGTGACACAACCAAACTACTTCCACCTTCCCTCTCCCCCCTGAAGACTTTATTCATAACGTTCAACAGCCCGTCTTGATAGGCCCTTATCGATTGTGCTAGTAAAAGTAGCATATAATGCTACTAGCAGTGCCTCGATTTTTTTTTCCCAAATTATGCTCGATTGTGAAAATTATGCTACTTTTTCCTGATGTATGGTTAAAAATAAAAAACACAAAACTAGTCCAAAAACCAAAATTATATATTTATTGTTAATATAGCATCATATTTTCTTTACCTTGGGTTACACGCTTGCTCTGATAAAACACAACTAACTACTGCACTTTATTCCAGACTAGAACTGAGCAATGACTTAATGTGTCAAAATTTACGATGAACGATGATGGGTAGCGTGCTGTCTTCATGACTCTTCCCTCGACTATGTCTTTCAGTAATGATTGTTCTCTCAACTTCGACTTCTTGATCTTTTCATTCCCACTCGTGTGTGTTTCGGAAGCACGATGGGATGACAAAATGCTTTTCTTTGATGAAACAACTTCTGTGCAATGCGCGCAAGCCGTGCAAAATATCGTTTCACCTCCAATACTTGGATGCTGACCTGGAAAATGATTGATGGGATCATGTAATGGGACTTTTTTTCACGTTAGATGCCCCCCTGGGTCTTGTATTTGCTGTTGATTTTCGTTAAGCTCCGATCTCTGACAATTTGAGTGAGTTCTAGCCTATCAGGCCAGTCAACCTCCTTCCCCTCCCCTCCCCCAGACGAATGAAAATAGACAAAACCATGGACAAACTTAAAAATAATCCGTCTTAGAGACTAAACAAGTCACCACTCTGGTAATGTTCCTTTAAAAGAAAAAAAAAAAACCACTGAAAAATATGCCGATTATACCAGCAGTTCTTCTTTAAGAAAAAGTGCACAAATTATGCAAGTTTTTCCAAAATATGCCAAACTTATGCTAACACAATCGATAAGGGCCTACGTCTTCAACCCTGAGAGTAAATCAATCGGCTCCCATGGTCACCACCTGAGCCAAAGAAAAAGAAACCGAGGGAGGAGTTCCCAAATCATTCTCGCATTATTTCTTTCAATGGGAAGAAGTAAGAATCAAATCGATTACATTTAGAAGCTGATTACTGTCTAACGTTGTTACGTTGGAGAAAGCCTTAAATTGCTTCCAAATTTTGTCAAAAGCTACTGATTTTAGGCATTATTTCCCGAAATTTGCTCATATCTGTGAGAAATAACACTCAGAATATACTCGTAATTTAGTGTTTTTGGTTGTTTTGAAACAGCAGCAATAGTTACAACTTTAAAAGTTGACTGATTCTGCCCGAACATAAGCGAAATGATCTATGCCGTCTAAAGCCCAATTTTTTTTTGTCATGGTTGCCCCGAAAAGTCAATAGTTGCTAACTTTCAGTTTTTGGTACAGAACCAGGCACATCATCAAAATTAAACTTAAACTTCCGATACGTCTTCACAGATAAACATGCATACGTGGGTTTTTCTGATTGGCTACTGAAATTCACGCAGAACTTAACAACTAAGCTTGCTACCGAGCCTGCTTGGGAGTTTTCACTCTCTTAACGGCTGTTACGCTCATTAGTAACTTCATCTCTCTTCAAAGAATACGTGATTAAGCAACCGAGAGGAAATGACATGTTTAATTATGACCGTTAGATGGTGAGATTATCAAAAGTAGATTGCAGTTTTTACAATATGCAACTTTAAATTTGTAACTGAGAAAATCAGATTCAGAACTAAAATGGTTTCCGCTCTATATCCAGAAGCCGTCATCACTTGGCTTATGCGAAAAAAAAAATTTTTTTTCTATAAAAGCTGATGCAATTTGTAAACACGTCTTTGATCTAATATAACTTTTGTAATGAATAAGTTCATTTGTAGAGAAATTTGTTGAAAATTGTCAGCGGTGTGAAAAAAAGAACAATTCTGATTTTCCCGCGAGGAATCGAAATCGTCGCCGTCGGGATCGATGTTTATTACCGTGTGTTTGGTTTTCTTAAAAGCTGAAAAAAAGGTATTTGCATGTTTGATCCTTGAGAAAGTACCACGTGGCTCGATAACTTTGCTTCCTTGTGACTGACGGAATACTTATGTATATCTAATAAAATACACAAACGAATTTAAAAAATTCGTTTAAAGTAACTTTTGCTATGATCGAACACCTTATCAATATTTTTACCTCTCTACAATGCTTTGATCGATTTCGCTTGTAGTGAACACTGTTTTGACAAATGAAAAAAATACTGCAAAATTTCCACATGACAATAATCATTATTTACTTAAGTTCAAACGATTTTAATTAGTATGGTAGCTCGATATTGCGTTAAACATATTTCTTTAATATCGAGAACAGAAAACGGCAAATAAAGAGATTTCTTCTAATAAGTCGGTTAGGTGATGTAATGTTGCAAGAGTCTACTTTAATTTGGAAAATTCCGTCTTATTATCGTTTGTATACAATTTTAGCAACTTTAGTAAAAACCATTGTTTTATACTTTCCTAAACAAATAAAAGGGTTTTCACCCACTGATCGTACCAAACAGCAACCAAAAACCATTACGCAAAATAATGATGTTTTAACTTCAAACGTTTCAGGAATATACAGATCAACTTGAAACTGTAATGATGGTTTTGACTAATGTAATTTTTGAATAGCAAATGAAGGTATTATGTGCGCTTCATTTGTGGGAACTTAGTCGACGTAATCTTACGGAACTCAACATAACTTTTTTTTAGGAAACTAAGGTCGATTATAGGCGATTTAAGAACCTACAAAGGGTTTTGTTACCGTGATTTTGTCCTTTTTTATTCATCTCTTCGAATGCTAATGAAAGACTGACAAATTCCAACTCGACCGACTATCCTTTAGGAAAAGACGATAGCTCTACACAAACTGAAGACCTGAATAAGTATAATCCCATTCAAATAAATTACTAAAGAACAAAAGATCGAGGCGTATGCTACTTGGACACAAAATTGACATAGTTTTTGCTGCTTGTCAATACCATTTGCAGCAGACAGCTGAGACTATTCAAGACCGTCAGTTTAATGACGGTTGCCAAGGTTGATACATATGAAGCCGAATAAAAAAAATGATAGCCACGCAATCCAATGCACACCCACCGCAGACCAAATAATAAATTCCGTCTACTTCCATGTTTTTTTTTTTCTTTTAAGATCAATTTGCTGGTTGGTTGGCACGCTCACAAGATATTTCAGTAAATAGGGAGCTCTGAATAAGTAATTTTCTGGATCGTTCGCAGAAGCCGAACAAATTTCTTGGGAATTAAAAAAGAAAACATCTATACACTGTCGCAGTAAAAACACGCGCGAACGAGGATCGAAGTTTGCACAAAAGAGACGTCTTTCCGAGGTAAGACTTCTGTATTCGAAAGAACTATATTTTGTAAAAGTCAGTGTGAATATAAGGAATACTAACGTTAAAGGCTGTTTTGAAGAATATTAGTTCGCTTTAGTAACATGTGAACAGCATTTAAATCATTATGCATAAATAGAGGAAATGAATTTTTGCTTTGGAAATAATTTTGCCCAAAGCAATATAAAATCCGAATTGAATAGCACTTTTTTAGTGCTTCGTTTTCGTTTTCAATTACCTAAGAAACTTAAGGAGTTAGCTTTGTCTTCGATGACAAAAACAACAAACAGCTACGGTTATTTCTTATGGTTACGGTTTCAAAACTACCAGAACTAAATCTTCGAAAGCGCTTACGACATAAACGAGGAAGTTATACCATTGAAAACACACCGTAACATGGATTCGGTAGAAAAAGGAGTTGTTTATCGTGTGTGCACCTTCTCATACGATTTTCGTAAACAACCAGTTGCCGAACCGATGCCTTCAAATATGTACATCTGAGACATCTTAGAAAGAGTTAAATGGAACATAGAATGCTACCTTTTTGTCGCGTTGACTTTGAGAGATGATTTCCAAATATTCTTTAGACCATAAAGCAACAACAAACCTCGCTGTAGTTTCTATGTGTTGAACTGCAAAATGTGGTGTCTAAGTTAAAATATTAATATTTATTGAGTGTGAAAAATTGGAGAGAGTCTTAACTAGACCTTTTATATTAGATCCGAAGCTGGTTTGCAGCTGTGCTCGCCTGACGTTTCATCTTCGATGTTGTTTACTTTTAATCAGACAAAAGCCTTCCGCGTTCGATTCATTCATTCTACTCAAAATTTATTTCAGTCCACATTTTGACAGTAGTCACTGTGATATGTTTTGAGGATGTCCTTTGAAGTTCACGCTTTCGTTTAGAATAATCAAAAATCATGAAACTAAGGCGACTAACAGTCAGTCGCCTTCCAACGGTATAAGGAATAATTATCTAAGTTTAATAAGGTGCAATTGTCGAGGTGTCTGTTTGGGGGTTCTTAGTGCAACGTAAAACATAGCAGAGTATATCTGGTGTAGAGAAGTTCAGAATTGTTCAACGAATTTCCACGGTGCTCTGCTTCATGTGCAGCATGCAGAGAATGATTAAGTTCGAAATCAATCATTACGGAAATTTTTTTCCACAATGAGTCATCTCAAAATGGCAATTTTAAGAACGTATTCGTCGCAATTTTTTGGTGATAAGTTCCGAAAAAGAAAAAAGAAAAAGAAATTCAATCTTTGCTCCACAGGCTGTTTTTCATAGCTTCCTTATACTCCCAATCATGCTATAAAATCCGGTTACCTCAAACATCGGTAACCCTATCCTGAATTGAACAAAGCGACCAGTTTCCTCTGAGATGTAGCCTAAAAAGCTTTCATTTTCCAAAAGTGCTGGCGTACGCCGGAAACTTCATAACTACAATCTCAAACACGCAACATTTTAAAAGCTTGACAAGGTAATTTTGGTTTTATCAACTGAGTTGATAATGTAATTTGGTCACAGCAACCGTAAAGGGTTTAAAGCTGGCGATTTGAGCGTTGGTCCTCCGTCAAGGCGAAGTGGGCAATTTACATTATCACATCAGTTGATTAAACCAAAATTACCTTGTTATACCCCCCACCGACACAGCACCACAGTTTCTTTAGAAACTTACTCCCTTTATTATTTTAAAAGCTATGAATGAGTGATAATGTCTAACCACACGTAAAGTACTATTTAAAAACTTTCAAAATAACTCGATATGGACTCGGCAGGTGATGTTATCTTGTTAGCAGTTATATCGTATAACTGAACACCTGTCGATAAAATTATTCCGTCAACTTTGTTTGCAGCGAAACGCTTTCTTTTGGTACTACTAAATAACGTGAATCATAGAGCAGTTAGCTTTTCAGTGAAATTTCCGCCGTCACGGTGGCGACAGATAAATTTTCGTGAATACAGAAGCGGAAAATACTCGCACGTCAAATGTTTTAAAACTCGTGGGCACGCAATAGCGTAGAAAGAAGTCCGTAGTCATCGCGCCACTGTGATTGCATCGATCGTTGCGATGTTTATTTTCTTTACAAGGCTGTTTCGGCATTTACTAAATGTCCACGCGCTAAACATAAGAAGGAGCAGTGAGAATCGTTGTCAAATGACAGACTCCCCCAAAGAGGCGTCCACTTCTACCGGCTCCATACAAGCGACCCGTTCACGACATTAACATTACAAACGAACCGAACAGAACGACCTAACTTTACCGACGGATCAAAACAGATCAATCACGACCGACGTAAACCACTAGGGTCTAACAACCATTAGAACATAGCTAGCAGAACCGCGAAATCAAATTCAATGTTTGTAAGCGTGCTCAAAATCCCGATAGTGCAAGCTGACAGCGTCCGGCAGCAAATCGCTTCGCCAGAAATTTTTTTTTCGCGGACACGGACTGGATTAAGAACATAGACCACTTTCATAAATGGCTGCAGGATTAATATTCTTTTGTTTAAATTTAAATTAGCCCCACTGGCCTCGTTCTCCAGTACAAAATTCAAAAGAATACATTACCTCAAGCGAGGCCAGCAGGGCTAATTTAAATTTAAACAAAAGAATATTTATACGGCAGCCATTTATGAAAGTGGTGTATTCTACTGACAACTATTCACTTGACTCTGATGATGACATCCGCACAGGTTGTCGGAAGGTCAGTCACCGCCACCTACAACAGTCCTTCTCAGGACTACACTCACCCGGACGATCACACGACACTTTCTCAACTGAGTTGATAATGTATATTTGCCACCGTAGAGAGTTTATCAAGCTGACTTTCGAACTTTAGCCTTTCGTCAGAGCGAAATAAATCGGAACTTTAGTTTGGAATCAAAATCGCATCGGTAAGAAAGAAAAGAAACCAATAAATAGGAACATTACTTCTGCACTTTGACTATTTTTTTGGTGGAAAGTAATCCCGCAAAATAGGTTGAGATGTAACAGGGGACTGAACTTGTCAAATAAAACCAAAGTCGTGTCGATCATGTTCTCTTAAGAATTTGCTCTCATTCACTGAGACTACGCTGGAAATGAAATGTCCCTGAATCGAAGAGTAGAAATGGGAAATGGAAAATAAGGAATGACGCCTGGGATAAAATGATGAATTGGGAACGGGAAGAGTGAGAAATGGAAAGTGGAAAATGAGAGATGGAAAGGGAAAAAGTGGAAAATGCAAAACGCTGATAACAGGAAAACTATGCATTGTATGGTGAATTACTAATGAGGTCTTGGAGCGGAAGGGTTAATGTTTTAAGCAGGCATCTGGTGCCTCGAGGATGACATGATTAAAAACACGATGGTTTCTGTGCATTCTTATTAGCGCGAGTTAACAACAAATTTTTCTTTCTCTCTGATAATCAACGCACAGGTTACCACCAGAATGGGTTTTATCTTACGACTCCTTCAAATTGTTTTGATCAGCCCTCAGCTCTTAAAAGCAGCAGCAACAACAGTAAGCACGACAACGAAACCACCAAGCACAAAACCGCCAACAAGCACAACGGCAGATACTTTAGTATTAACAACAACAGTAACACAAACAACAACAACAACAACAACAACAGCAGTAGAACCAATACCAACATCAGCCACGGCTGTAACAACAACACCAAAAACAGCAGAATCAAAGACAGAAATAAGTACAAATGTAGCAGAAACAACATCTCCTGCCGTGAACAGCATCACCACATCTCAACAGGGATCACAGTCTTCAGTAGAGTCACAGACACCATCTTCTACTCAGTCAGTACAAACAACACAAACAATATCTGCGACATTAAATGCAAGAACCATCACAAGTTTGCCTGCTCTGTCAAGTTTGCAAAGCTCCAGTGACAACGGAGCCAGCACGTTGAGTACGCCCACAACAATTTACACCACTTCATGGAATTCTTCAAACGCAGGTTAAGTAACAACCACAGCCTCACATGTGCAAAACACTCCCGCCTCGTATTCAACGAGCAGTACGTCCCTACCAGAGAGTGCTTCGCAATCGAGAACCTCATCAGATCCCATGGCAAAAAGGAAAGCTTCAAGCTACATAACTGGTGTTCCAAACCAAACGCTGTCTATCAATTCAAGTTACGCAACTTCGCCGATGACCTTAACAAACTCAGGTCCCGCTACAACTCAAGCTGCGTACTCCACAAGCGATGTTACGACGAAAGAGAGCCCCACCGTTCCGGTCGCTCCTACAAATAGAGATTCTTCCACAACGCAAACTAAAACAACCTCAGGTAACGTATTAACTCTCAGTGTAGCTGCGAGACTAGTCTAGCGTGTTAAAACCCTGCCACACCCTCAAAATCAAGTATGATCTGGTTTGCCTGACTCTCACAACTAATGGCACCCTTTTCGTGCATTTTATGTATAATTACCAATAACAAACACAGCAACAAGCATTTAATGCAACAACCACCACAGGTTTGCCTGCTTCGTCAAATTTGCAAAGCTCCAGTGGTAAACGAACCAGCCCGTTGAGAATGCCGACAGCAATTTACACCACTTCAAGGGAATCCCCAAACGCAGGTTCAGTAACAACCCCAACCCCAGAGGTGCAAAACACTCTCACCTCGTATTCAACGAGCAGCACGTCCTTACCAGAGAGTGCTTCGCAGTCGAGAACCTCGTCAAGTCTCATCACAACAAAAAGTAAAGCTTCAAGCAACATAACTGGTGTTCCAAACCAAACGCTGTCCATCAATTCAAGTCAGGCAACTTCGCCGTTAGAAGGGCTAATTTAAATTTAAACAAAAGAATATTTATACGGCAGCCATTTATGGAAGTGGTGTATTCTACTGACAACTATTCACTTGACTCTGATGATGACTTCCGCACAGGTTGTCGGAAGGTCAGTCACCACCACCGACAACAGTCCTTCTCAGGACTACACTCACCCGGACGATCACACTACACTTTCTCAACTGAGTTGGTAATGTAAATTTGCCACCGTGGAGAGTTTATCAAGCTGACTTTCGAACTTTAGCCTTTCGTCAGAGCGAAATAAATCGGAACTTTAATTTGGCATCAAAATCGCATCGGTAAGATAGAAAAGAAACCAAGAAATAGGAACATTGCTTCTGCACTTTGACTATTTTTTTGGTGGAAAATAATCCCGCAAAATAGGTTGAGTTGTAACGGGGGACTGAACTTGTCAAATAAAACCAAAGTCGTGTCGATCATGTTCTCTTAAGAATTTGGTCTCATTCACTGAGACTACGCTGGAAATGAAATGTTCCTGAATCGAAGAGTAGAAATGGGAAATGGAAAATAAGGAATGACGCCTGGGATAAAATGATGAATTGGGAACGGGAAGAGTGAGAAATGGAAAGTGGAAAATGAGAGATGGAAAGGGAAAAAGTAGTAAACGCAAAACATTGATAACAGGAAAACTACGCATTGTATGGTAAATTACTGTTGAGGTCTTGGAGCGGAAGGGTTAATGTTTTAAACAGGCATCTGGTGCCTCGAGGATGACGTGATTAAAAACCCGATGGTTTCTGTGCGTTCTTATTAGCGCGTAGTTAACTACAAATTTTTCTTTCTCTTTGATTATCAACGCACAGGTTACCATCAGAATGGGTTTGATATTACGACTCCTTCAAATTGTTTTGATAAGCGCTCAGCTCTTAAAAGCAGCAACAACAACAGTAGAATCAACACCAAAAAAACAGGGATCACACTCTTTAGTAGTGTCACAGATACCACCGTCTAACCAGTCGCTACAAAGAACACAATCAATATCTGCGACAATAACTGCAACAATCATTGCCAGTTTGCCTGCTCCGTCAACTTTGCAAAGCTCCAGTGACAACGGAAACAGCCCGTTGACAACGCCGACAACAATTAACACCACTTCATGGAAATCCTCGAGTGTAGGTGCAGTATCATCCGCATCCTCAAGTGTGCAAAAAGCTCTCACCTCGTCTTCAACGAGCAGCACGTCCCTACCAGACACTGCTTCGCAGCCAAGAGCCTCATCAAATCTCAGTGCAACAGAAAGTGCTTCAGACAACAGAACTGGTGTTCCAAACGAAACGCCTCCTATCACTTCAAGTTACGCAACTTCGCCGACGACCTTAACCAACTCAGGCCCTGCTACAACTCAAGCTGTGTATTTCACCAGCAATCCTACGATAAAAGAGAGCTTTACCGTTCCAGTCGCTCCTACAACTATAGATTCTTCTCCAACGCAAACTACAACAATCTCAGGTAACGTATTAACTCCTAGTGTAGGTACGAGACTAGTCTAACGTGTTAAAACCCTGCTACACCCTCAAAATCAAGTATTGTCTGGTTTGCCTGACTCTCACAACTAATGGTACCCTTTTCGCGCTCTACGTTGAGAGATAAAGTGGCGGCAGGGGTATGCATTTTATGTATAATTACCAATAACAAACAGAGCAACAAGCATTTAATGCAACAACCACCACAGGTTTGCCTGCTTCGTCAAATTTGCAAAGCTCCAGTGGTAAACGAACCAGCCCGTCAAACGAAGGTTCAGTAACAACCACAACCCCAGAGGTGCAAAACACTCTCACCTCGTATTCAACGAGCCGCATGTCCCTACCAGAGAGTGCTTCGCAGTTGAGAACCTCGTCAGGTCTCATCGCAACAAAAAGTAACGCTTCAAGCTACTTAACTGGTGTTCCCAAGCAAACGCTATCCATCAATTCAAGTCACGCAACTTCGCCGGTGACCTCAACCAACTCAGGCCCCGCTACAAATCAAGCTCCGCATTTCACAAGCGATCATTCGACGAAAGAGAGCTCCACCAATCCGGTCGCTCCTACAACTACAGATTCTTCCACAAAGCAAACTATAACAACCTCAGGTAACGTATTAACTCCCAGTGTAGGTACGAGACTAGTATATTTTATAATTAACAATTATTCCACGAGCGCGCGTTGGATATGAGATGATAGATAGCCAACGAGGCGCGTAGCGCCGAGTTGGCTATAATCATCTCATATCCAACAAGCGCGAGTGGAATAATTGTTTTATTAAAAAAAAACGCCCCCAAGATATTAGACAAATCTTCTCGACTTTATTTTGTAAGAAGAAACCGGATGTTACAATGTACAGATATTAGATTATGGTATATTGGCTCATATACCATAATGGCTAAGCCAATAAAAAGTCTTGAATTGCATTATCCAATGATCCAGTTTTAAAAATAACCAATAACAAACAGAAAACACGCATTGCGCTTTTCTGCGTGAAAAGCATCATTTAGGCCTTCCCCCGTAACAGGGTTCTAACAGGGTTCACAAGACATTTGTGAGCTTGAACCCGCGTAAACTTGTCATTCAGATACAAAACCATCACACAAGGGTGTAGACCGGAATTTTCTACGAGGAAGCGCTACACTTACGTCCTGTTGGCAAGTTAAGACACGCCAGGGTGGTTTTCTTGACAAAGAAGCGAGTCATATGCCTCCTCGTGCCCCTTCCCCACTCCACCCGCTCTCTTACTTAACCCCATATCACATAAATAACAAACAAACAACAGAAAAACTGAAGGTTGATGGCCACTTTGGGGAAGAAAACAGGTCAAACGTATTTTGTCTTGTAAAGTTTCAGTGTCGCTAAACTGGACAGACTGGTCTGTGGACTCAAGTGACTGTCAGCGGCATTGTTCAAATGTGGGAGGAACTGTGACAGCGAGTCGTCAGTGCTATTCACACACAGTAACGTTCGAAAATAGTTACTGTATCAGATACGAATCATTTAAAAAAGTGTTTAAATGTGGCCAACCACATTGTCCAGTCTCAGGTTTGTTTGGAGCTTTTAGCTTTTTTTGTCTAGGATCTAGACTCCTTCAGCGTAGTGAAACCGTACCTTGATCCGTCACGTCACCGTGAGGAACCCGGTGTCAGTGACCAGAGACTCAACCCAGACTTCTCGCGGACAGTTATGCGCGAGCCATTCCTTAATGGGCTCCTGACGAGATCCTCGTCTGCAAGTACTAACAGTTTCTCCAAATGGAGAAAGCCGCCAAAAAATAAAATGGAAAATTACATATACTTTTTTAGCCTGAGCTTAAATAGAAATAAAAAGAGGTGCATAGCGTTTTGAGTCGGTCAAAAAAGTAAATAGCTAAAGAACAAAAATTTCAGAAAGGAACTCATCAAGCTATATTGCTATGTATCTTATTTTTGGTGGATTTCATGAAATTAAATTTTAATGTTTACTTTGACAGGAACAGAACCATTAGGAATGTCAATCTATACTGTGCTAGCCGGCACTTTGCTCCATATGTAAGTTTTAACGTGACACTGTGATGATCTTGGGTTATGCAGCTTAGGTTGTTTGGCTTCGATCATGACGATAATCACCCTCTATAATTGTTCCCTTCTTCTTTCAACAGGTCGCCGAACTTTTTCGGGGGCTAAGACTTCAACGAACTTTATAAGGTCAACGTGTGTGTCAAGCTCTCTTGGAACGAGTGTATACATTAAAGAGTGTGTAAGCTTCATAATCGCAAAGGCGTAAACAGCATGTAGTTTAAATTTCTTAGACTATTTTAGACCTTTCATGTCTGTTTTTATAGTGTAGTATCGAGAGAATTGTCAAGAGATTATAAATCTCTTGATAGCATAAATGTTTGTATAAACTTTATTACGAAAAAAATTATGTAGTGCTAAATTGTACTAAGTAAGACTAAAATCAATTGCCGGGTTACTGTAACGAAGAACAAGAGAAGAGAAAGCAACGGATCTACGCCTATTAACCATCACAAGAAAAGAAGGAAACAAACATACTCACTTCAACAAAAGAAATAGGCCTTACCTATGGAAGGAACGTCTCAACATACATGTATTAAATACTACGTTGACTTCCAGAGATCTTTTCACTTATAGCAAACGTTCACGTCTCTATCTACTATCAGGGTAAAGACCAAAACAGTTATCAAGGCTCATCGTTTCATAAATGTTGGAATGCACTTTAAATGTGGTACTCGGGACTGTCAGCACTTGATCTTTGGAGGCGGCATTTTTTTTCTACCATTCAAACCAGTGTTCATAAGCTTGACGAACGTTTGATTCTGTGTTCTTTGAGCGAAGAATTTCTCTTCTGATCGAGTGCGACTTGTATTCAGCTTGCATTTATAGATTCTGCAACATTGACAACTGCAAGGACAACGATCTTGTCTGCCATCATGAAAGACCCTTGCAGTCGTCTTTGATTTCGTTCCTCTCAGCCATTGTCTCTAATGTTATAATTTCTCACTGTCATTTTCTTTGGAGCCAACCTAACTTTCCCAGCAGCCTTTTTGGACAATTCTGGTCGCTGTTTTGAAGGTCTACTTTGAACTTCCGTTCGCCTTCCTTTTAGGGCGAACGAATCACGCTCGGAAGAATCCCGCGCTGGAATATGATCAGGGTCTTGGTCCCTTGTGGCTTTAAGTCGCTGAGTAGAGCTGGGGCGAGCTTTCCTGGGAGTTGGACTTTGGAAACTTTCTTCTTCGTCCAACATCTTCCAAATTTCTTGTAACGACGCTTGGCCTTCGGAAGATGACGTAAACAGTGGTTGATCGTAAACTGGCGAAGACGTCCACTGATTGGGTGATGGACCAGTGACATGATTATCCACTGGTGCGCTGTCTTTTGTATTCGTATCGCGAGATACTAAACCTTGCGATTCCAATAGAGAATCTGACACTTTGCCATCTGCACAATAAATAAGTGACTGCATAAGACAAGCACACATCTTGCCCTTTTTTACGAGAGAGTGAAAGTAACTAAGATAGCTTGAAGGAGAGTGGTTAAGGTACGGTTAACTTTATGTTGGGTCATTGAAAAGTTCTTAAGTGGTGAGTGTGGTCTGCATCACTCAAGGATTCGACTCCCTGACACGAGTCTTCCCTACTCTGGATGCTCTACTACTGAACTACTGAGAATCGGGTTGATACCAGACCACACTTCAGCTTTATATCCCGCCTTAAGCATGGTGCTCAAAAGAACTCTTACCCTAATTCGTTTCCATATATGATGTACTATTGAGAGTAAAGTGCATCTAAAGAAACAAAGAGAACATCCTTTCAAAATCACCCTATATCGATGTAGAAATCTACTCTCACCATCATTAGAATCACTTGAAGTTGAGGCCACAGTGATCTTGACATGTTCAGCGGCTTGCTGCTCTTTAAGAGCCATGCGCTGTGCAAACTGGAGCTCCTGAGAAGTGAGTTGATATTGAAGATTTTCCACAGCACCTAATTGGCTCTGTAAATGGTCTTTCGTTTCACCTGGCGTCCTTCCGATAGGGGTCTTTTCTGAGGAGCCTTGGGTGACAAAGGGCTGAGGGTGATGGCTGATATCACTGCCAGGGGCAGCACTCATTCGGCCACCTTACAAATTTTAAATGTTCATGTAGAAAAGATTTCTGTGGTTAAAGCACAGGCGGCCCAAGCTCTCTTTGAGAACCACACAAGGAACACAATTTGCATATTTATAAAGATTTGTATGGGATTTTCTACAAGATATCAACAGAGATAGTTAAAAGTGAAAATATTAAATAAAAATGGCTTACCTTGTTCCATACGTGTGTTGTTTGCTCCTGGTGTCGTTATTTTACCGATTTCACTTGATTTAAGCGGTTTTTTTTAATCCTGGTTTTCTACCACATAAAGAGAAGACAAGCCTTGTCTCTTAAAAAAAAAAGCCGTTGTTTGGGCTCGTCACGCAACGCTCCCTCCCCCACCAACCAGGGAGCGTTGCGTGACGAGCCCAAACAACGGCTGCGAAGGAGACTAGAGAAGACATGTCTTCTCTTTATGTGGTAGAAAACCAGGATTAAAAAAAACCGCTTAAATCAAGTGAAATCGGTAAAATAACGACACCAGGAGCAAACAACACACGCATGGAACAAGGTAAGCCATTTTTATTTAATATTTTCACTTTTAACTATCTCTGTTGGATATCTTGTAGAAAATCCCATACAAATCTTTATAAATATGCAAATTGTGTTCCTTGTTTGGTTCTCAAAGAGAGCTTGGGCCGCCTGTGGTTAAAGATGTTAGCTTTCGACTGACGATACTCAAATAATCGGTACTTTCGGCACTACTCTGGCGAAAAAGCGCGATTCTGAGAGAATCTACACAGGATGAATAACACAGCTCATGCGACAAAATGTCTCTTTTCGTAATAGACATCACAAATGTCGTCGGCAAGACAGTGGACTTATATGTCGGGGTGTGACATAGTGTGACTGGATCAATGTTTATATCTGGGCAACTGCGGTCCTACCCCCCCCTCCCTCATCCAACACCAGTCAACTGATAACAAGTTAGGGTTAACGTTGGATTAGGGGAGGGGTGAGTGCGCAGTTGCTCAGACAGTAAAATTGATCAATGCGACTCCACTTGCCTTTGAAAAAAATCCTAGTTAGGGACCTGACAGGAAGGACCAGGAGTTTTGCCTCTCCCTCTTCATGAGGAATCATGTTTCGTCGCAGATTATTTCTCGTCATTGCTTGTTATTTGCTTGATAAACTAATGGGACCCACTTACACTTTTAAGTGAAGAGAGGTCCTGTAAAACAAAACACAGCCCAATGACCCGGGTAGGACTTGATCTGCCCTCTCGTGTCCAGAGCGCTCACGGTTACGCCACTGGGTCTCCCAAAAACATTACACAGTCTTTTAACTTACTTTGAAAACCCTACTGCACCAGAGGAAGGTGATTATCTTTCTCTGTCCTAAGCTTGTAATAAAAGATTATCTTGAAGTTTTCTCCCACTGAAACTGATTTTTTACGAGGACAATTCAATGTCTCCAATTTCTGTACCATTTAGTCAAAAAGGATTGTCAGCAACGTAGACGTTTACCTGTATATTTTCCGAGCTCCGCTCTGAGTCTATTTCCCATCTGAATAAGCTGTTCTTTCTCTTGAGACATTCGGCTGATGCGCCGCGCCGCCTCGTGTAGTTTGCTTTGTAGCCGCGCCATCTGAGATACTGACGGTTGAGAAAGGGAAACTGGGTCGAAGAAATCTTTGTCGCTTGTTTGAACACCTAAATTATGATAGGATGCAATGTAAGCCAATATTTAAGACAGTTCTGCTACGATTTTACGGCACTTTACCCAAGAATAAAAGTTTGCTTTGGTGGATTTTGCACATTTTCAAAACGAGGCAACAACTTCTACCTGATAAGTTGATAAGTCTGAGTATTCTCATTACCTGTTTGCTGGATATTGTTTACTTAAATATCATGCGGAGAAGTTTACAAGCTGATCACTTCTGGGAGTTAAATAAACGCTATAGTTCACAGTTTACCAAGGAAAATGTGTTTAGAACCATACATTGAAATGGTCAAGATCAGGACACACTTTTCAAAACGTAACATGCACAAATTATTAAAAACGTGTTCTAAAGTACACGTAGACTTAAATTTCGATTCAATGTCAGTATCCGAACAGCTGCCTACAAACCCCTCCCCCAAACCCAACAGGCCCCCCAGGTCGTACTGACGGTAACCGTCAATTTTAATTTACCTAACCATTCTAAGCAACACATGGCAATCTGCGGTCTTTCCTTACACTTAGGTAGCACAGAAAGCCGGAAAACTCTTGAACAAAAGCTCATCTTTCAAACCGGCAGTCTAAATCCCACAGGTATCAACGAACGCTTTTCATTCCACTAATTTATTCGTGTTTTTCTCGTTGCCATGTTCCCACCAAACACGTAGCTCCTTTTTCTGCCTTTAAAAGCACACACAACCCACAATTTCCCTATTCGCTCCGACGAAGGGCTAACGCTCGAAACGTCCGCTTTTATAATCGTAATGGTGGCCAATTTACCATTTCAACTTTGTTGATATATTCAAATTATACGGTTAGTAAGTCGGGTCATATTGTAACCCTCAGACTGCTGGCATATCTCACCTGTTGCTAGTTGTTTCCTCAGGCGATGAATCTCATCTTGAAGTTGTTTGATGACTTCTGCCTGAGGACTGAATGATACAGCTCCTCCCCCTTGAGATGCAAGTTCAACTTTTAGACTTGACAGCTAGCGATAGGAAACAAATTTAAAAAAAAAAAAATCGATACTATGCAGAAAAAAACCGTTATTGTTTTATTCTCGTCAAAGTACACTCAAAAGAAAAACAACCTCTTAGTGGGGATAGCCACAAGAAGAATCCCTCGACTTCAGAAAAACCTTTCTCTTAAGAATGAGAAAAAGGCATTTTTTTCAAGTTGGGTCGTGAATTAAAGAAAGAGGTGATTCGTTTTGTCACGACCGTGTAACAAATAAAATAAATCTGTGTTCCCACGAGGAATCGAACCCCAGCACCTGGGATTCTGCCCAACGATGCTCTACCACTGAGTCACAGAGACTCTCTGTGGTAAGCTGAGCCATCACAAGGTTCTTAAGTGACACGCGTGATACATACAGCTAGGACTAGCAATGTCGAAAGGGTAGCAAACCCATCAATGGCCGTACTCACGAAAGAGTTCCCCAAAGCTCAATGGCAGAGCATGGAAACCAAGGTCTGGCGTTTTATTCCTCAGGGGGACTCAGTTTTTGAAAAATTTGCGGCTCGACAACATAACTTGGTTTCAAATTACCTGATTTCCTAAGGAAGTAGCCTCAGCATTCCGTTCCAGTCCGCTCTTAAAGTACTCGTCCGCCTCTCTTCTGGTCTGGGTCAGCTGCAGTTCCAGCTCGGTTACTCGCTGTTTCAGAGCAGTCAGTTCATCAGTGGCTCGCCTACTCTGTGTCGTAAGTTCATACCGTAGCTGATCCATTGCTAACTGTTTCTGGCGAACCTGCCGAAAGACGTCCCCAAAAAATAAAAGATCAGAAAAAATGTAGTAGTAGAGAGAGACCAAGTTAGCTTAGAGTAATTTTAAAGCGGCAGTAAGGGAAAGTAAACAAGTGAAATCAAGTACGAAGGGTAGTAACAAGGAAAAGAGGGAGCGAATCCATAAAAAAAAGTTCAAGACTTGTTGGAGATTTACCCCTATGAGTTATACCGCATCTTACAAGCTGTATGAAACTTCTCGTAGTGACCTATTTCTAGGATGGACATCCCTTCAAGAAGAGTTAATGTACAGCAAAATGACCGAAGGTATCCGGAGTGACTACGGAACTCTGCATAAAAGCAATGTGTGTCTCGCAGAGGTCTTCCTTTTAGAAGAGCTAACTGTAATGAGTTACCTCTTCTTGCGAATGCGTCAGCGACCCCTGCAGATGATCCACGGTGCCTTGAAGTTTCTTCACTTGTGCTGACAGCTCGAGTTTTTCCTGGCGTAAAGCACCTGATGAACGATAATAAAAGCACATGTAGAGGCATTTCTTAGCTCCAAGAGCAAATTTCACTGATACTTATTGTCGTTTCACACTACGGTCGGAGGTAAGGGACGAAAGAAGCTGACATCAGTCTTCACGTAACTACAACTTATCCCAGCATAACAAACTCGATCCCCTTCTTTCAGGCTTGGTCCGTCGAGCAAATGCAAAATGCAAAATGTGAAAAAAAAAAAAAAAAAAAAAAAAAAAAGAAAAAAAAACAGAAATTAAGCTTTCGCAAAAATTCCTTGCCTGCACAAATATATCGCAGCCAAAGAAAATTAGGGTTGGGAAAGGCAAAGGAAGAAAGATTTTGTTAAAAATTCGTCACACCAAAAGGAATGGTATCCGCGCTTGTCTCTGCGTCGTGTCCCACCAGGAAATAACCTGTTGCAAGCTCTTGTCAAAGAAACTGTAAAGAGCGAATTAGTGGATGAAAAACGTTTTGTGGTTAAACTCCCACTGTTTTTCGCTACCCGCTTTTTGGTTTTTCCCAGATGACCAAGAGCTTAGCACGAGTTGTCCAGCAAATTGTTGCCTGGTGTTTCCCACCTTTAAAACAGTTAAGTCCTTACCAATTGTTCCATTCAGCTCCCTAATGTGTGCCTGTATGAACTGATCTTGCGGTTGACCGCCATGTACCGCTATTTGTGTCCCCCGACCAGGTTGCGCCGACCGTGGTTTCTCCTCAACTTGCTGTTTCAATGCACGGTTCTTTGACTTTAATTCGGTGATCTCCTTTTCAAGTGACTCCACATATTCTGCAGAGAAAAGATTCCTTGACTAAAATTCAATAAGAGCACTGCTCAACAGCGCAAAAGCGATAGACGACGAAGACTCGAAAAGTTTGCGGCGGAAAATAGTCGCAGCTTCGTCGTCCATCTCGCATAATACACTGTTTGGAAACTACGTGTGAATGCGAATTGCTTTTAGTCTTGCCACTAAATTTGAAATCGTTGCTCTGCTAAATTTGAAGTTCAGTTAACCAAATTATCTTTAACGCTCTGTGCTTGGTGTGTACTTGTGTCATTTTCATTCAGGAACACCTTGCCAACATAACATTACGCAATTGAAAATTTTTATATTGATAATTGCACAACGTAAGTCAGAAATTATTATTATTATTATTATTACTATTATCATTATTATTATTATTATTATTATTATTATTATTATTGCTATTATTATTATAATTACCTTTGGTCAGTGGGACGGGCGACCCATTTTCACTATCTCTTCGTTGCAGCACAGCCGAAGAGGGCCTTGCAGCAAATTCATTACCAAGATTCTCCATGTCCTGCCTCATTTGTCTAATCACAGATCTCAAATTACTGTTCTGTACTTCTAGCTCTTTGATTTTCTCCTCAGGAAGGAGGTCACGAAGATTTTCAACATCACGCGAAGAAGATCCGTGTTGCTCTTCGTTGTTTGGTAGTTCTGCTGGAATGGCGAGACTGTGCCTTTGAAGGGTTGCGAGGGCCTGGTCTCTTGTCTGCGACAAGACGCGAATCAGTTCATCTCTTTGTGCTAACTCTCGCTCCCGTTCTTGATCAAGCGCCGCAGCCTGTTGATTGTTGAAAGTAATCCTTAATTTAAATGTTTGTCTTCTTCGTGCATTGATCAATTGGGAGCGGGTTAGGGTTAGGACTACAATCAAATGACCCTCTGAGGGAGGAAAAGGGATAATCGCTTTTTTGGGATCAACACACTACCAAAGTAGAACCATAAGGAGTGTCGAACGTTGTACGGTATTGATTCAGGTTTTTCGCTCTCTATGACTAGAAAAGAAAATGTACGCTACCCTCACAACTGATAAGGTGCAAGTCAGTAAGATCAATCGCAACCTCAAAAGGGTAACCTGTTTCGACCGAAATTCTCGGATCAATGATGGTATCTGAACAACAGCGCACCCCTACCCCTCCCCTAACTTGTTATCAGTTGACTGTTGATGGGTTAGGGGAGGGGTGGGTGTACAGTTCCTCAGAAACTGACGTTGATCCAAATTCTCAATAGCACCCTCTGATATTTCCTTTTATTACTGAGTGGTACCCATTCCGAATTTGGTTTCACAACTTAAAAATTGGTAAACACCACAGCATACACTACTGAGTTATGGATGCACGAAGGAGGTTGCTAAGCACGAAAGAAGCGTAAGAGTCACGCGAGGCGATAGCCGAGAGCGACTCTAGCTTCTTGAGTGCTTAGCAAACCTCCCAAGTGCATCCCTAACTTAATAGTATACGCTGTGGTGTTAACCATTTGTTTTATAACATAATACTGATACATTTTAGCAGAAGAGTTCTCTTTCATATATTTAACAAATCTTACGTGACCAGAAAGCGCGCGAAAACTAGTCTTTGCATTTGCTCGCGTCAGCAGCGTACACCCATGAACAAATGGTGGACACTGAATTGACCAATCAGAGCGCGCGCTTTACTTTGGTTACGTTAGAAACTAAATTCGAATGCGCTATGACTTGCTATCCCTATAACGTGTACCTCATCTCTCTGCTTTGTGAGAGCTGCAAAAAGCTGCTCCTGTTTACTGTACACCTCTCTTTCGGTGTCCTCGCATCTCCGCTGCCAATCAACTTCAAGTTGAGCTCTGGATCGTTCCATGGAAGACTCTCGCTCCAAAGCTACAGTGAGTTCTTTCTTATATCTGCATGAAAAATGGGTGTTCAAATATTTACCTGAGCTAACAAGCTGCACGGGCCAGCCACTATAAGATATGAATAGGCCATTTCTCGAATTACCTTTGGCCCCAGGCTCTTTTTCACAACGAGCTCGAGGCCTATTGCCATTCGTATGAAAATGAGTTTAAATTGCATGTGAATGAAAACTTATAATCATATGAAAGGATGAGCCCCAGTACTCGTTTTGAAAATGAAGCCAAGGGTTATTCAGAAATGGGCTATTAGATGAAAGACCACAGCGGGCAATTATACATATTCTGTGAGGTTAATTTTTCATAGTCAGTATTGCCCAAATTTAAACGTTTATCTCAAAAAACACGCTTCTGAAGAGAAAAAAAAAAACACTGTCCATAACGATACGGCTTAGGTAAGCTTTTACTTTGCCCTTTGTTCTCTTCTTGGCTCTATATCAAACTGAAATGTCATCTGCATTTGACGAGATTCGCTTTACGAATGAATGTTCCACAGATCATAGGGTCTTCGGGAAGTCTGCTGCTCGCTGCCATTCATTTAACAGCAAACGCAGTTTTTCCAACAGTTTAAGAGTTACGCTTTTAAACTGAAAATCTAGGTCAGGCATTAGAGAAATTTTCGCTTAAATCGACTTCCAGATAAACAAGGAAATATCTTATTAACCAAGCGCGAGGGCCGTACTGGGAGAATATCGGCCCGAGGTCTTGACAGTACAAAAAAGACCGAGGGCCGATATTCTTCCAGTACGGTTCCGAGCAAGCTTGGATAAAAAAAGATTTATTATACGACTGAAGTTCAAAGGGACACAAGTGCGGTATCATTCGGGACCATTCGGGACAGTGCCCGGTCCAATACTGAGAGAATATTGACCGGCAATAGGGCATTTTGATTGGTTGATTTTAGTTATTGGCCCTCCGACTGCCCGAGTCGTGTAATAATTAATCAATATTGAATTACTTATATTTGATAAGTAACCTTTCAGCGTTCTCCTTGAGCACAACTATTTCCAGCCTCATCTTTTCTTCCTGTTGACGTAAAGCTTCTAGTTCAAGGTCACGAGCCACTGTGGATCTGGCGTGGTCAGCGGACTGTTTTTCCAGTTTGTGTTCTAGATCTGCTACGGTTCCCAGTAGTCTGACAGCAAGCAATGAAATTATCACACACAAACAGGAGGCATTGTATGGATGGAAACTTTCAAGCAAATAGTCTAAATTGATCGGGGGAGTGGGGACTGGGAAAGAGGTAATAGCGATTTTATGCACCTCCCCTCCAATGTGACCTCATTTCAATTCTCAAACTGATCTGTTCCGGGCGTTCAGTCAGTATAACAGGAAGCGACAGTAAACCGCGCGATTGTGGCGGGGGACTGGTAAAAAAACGAGGGAGGTTTGGTTCGGGTCGTCTGACGTTCCTTACACGACCCGAACAAGGGCACGTTTCTCGAAGGTCCCGGTAACTTAACGGGCCCGTAAGGCTGTTTTGTTTTCATTCAAGATAGAAGTTTCAAAATTATACTATAAAACTATCAGGTGAAGAAACAAAATGGACTGGTTAGGGAGCCAAATCCTGCTTCTCTAGTTTTTTAGATTCAGATTTTTAAATTTTAAAGCCAGTTTTGAGCCGGTTTTTTGTTTACAGAGGAATTTTTACTGAGAGAAGAAAGTAATCGGGGATTATCATTCCGCTGGCCTTGTTTTTCCTCACCATCTGTTTGGTCTAAGACACCAGTACCACTTTCTCGACCAATCTGATTGAAACCATAACCAATCACGTATTGGTCATTTTCATTTTCTCGAGCTATGAAGAGTTTGTTTGATTTTAATCTAAATTTTCACTGAAAAGTTACGATATTTACCTTTCCTCGGATTGGCCATTGTGATTCCTTTGGCTTTGGTTTAACGATACTCTATCGAATTGTTTTCTATAATTTCTTGACTCCATGTTTTTCATGATATTTTGATAGGTTTTACATTGTTATTTCTAAATATTTACCAGGTAGTCTATCTTGTATGGGGTCCCATTATTCTTTTATAAACCTCTTAATGGCTTTTGTTATAATAGGTTCTTTTTCTCACTTTTTTTTTTTTCATATACATATATTTGTGCTTTTACAGATTTTTTCATTAAAAAAATTGTAACAAATAAAATTCTTGCTTACTTGCACAACTTCCCTCACGCAGAAAATGTTATCCTACAATTATATTCATAACACATCAGTAATTTCAAGTACCTTTGAAGTTCCAACTCTTTTTCCTTCCCAGCATCCCTGATGGCCCATTGAAGTCTACGGCATTCCACTTGCTCAGTTTCTAGTTGATTCTGCAAGACTCGGATTTTTTCCTCTAGACTTCTTTCAAGCTCACCATGGGCCTAAACAATAAACAATAATATATAGATTTAGCCAAGCCTAAAAGCGGAGCTCCCAAGTTCGTAATATTAATGATAACATGAAAAATGTGCGTTTGCCAAGACTTGCCTTTGACACCCCTCCCTTCGTTTTGATAGTCTCCCCTACCCTACCCGTGCAATTTGAAGGCACGTACATACGTGTGTACGTACGTACGCTCGGTCAGTCACGTGACAACCAAACGAAAAGAGGTTGACCATATTCCATGGGTATGCGGCTCTGCCCCACGCGCACGAAGCGCGCGTGGGAACCCCGCTAGAAACTGCATATCTACTATCTTTTGTTTAACCCTAAACCCTGATGAATGACAAGCATCTTCTTTCTCCTAACAATTTCTCCCGTGAGTCACCTCTCCTAGACAACAAACAATAGAACGTGCATGTCTATTATCTTTTGTTTAAACCTGAAACCCTGATGAATGACCAGCGTCTTCTTTCTCCTAACAATATCACCCCTGAGTCACCTCTCCTAGACAACAAACAATAGAACGTGCATGTCTATTATCTTTTGTTTAAACCTGAAACCCTGATGAATGACCAGCGTCTTCTTTCTCCTAACAATATCACCCCTGAGTCACCTCTCCTAGACAACAAACAATAGAACGTGCATGTCTATTATCTTTTGTTTAAACCTGAAACCCTGATGAATGACCAGCGTCTTCTTTCTCCTAACAATATCACCCCTGAGTCACCTCTCCTAGACAACAAACAATAGAACGTGCATGTCTATTATCTTTTGTTTAAACCTGAAACCCTGATGAATGACCAGCGTCTTCTTTCTCCTAACAATATCACCCCTGAGTCACCTCTCCTAGACAACAAACAATAGAACGTGCATGTCTATTATCTTTTGTTTAAACCTGAAACCCTGATGAATGACCAGCGTCTTCTTTCTCCTAACAATATCACCCCTGAGTCACCTCTCCTAGACAACAAACAATAGAACGTGCATGTCTATTATCTTTTGTTTAAACCTGAAACCCTGATGAATGACCAGCGTCTTCTTTCTCCTAACAATATCACCCCTGAGTCACCTCTCCTAGACAACAAACAATAGAACGTGCATGTCTATTATCTTTTGTTTAAACCTGAAACCCTGATGAATGACCAGCGTCTTCTTTCTCCTAACAATATCACCCCTGAGTCACCTCTCCTAGACAACAAACAATAGAACGTGCATGTCTATTATCTTTTGTTTAAACCTGAAACCCTGATGAATGACCAGCGTCTTCTTTCTCCTAACAATATCACCCCTGAGTCACCTCTCCTAGACAACAAACAATAGAACGTGCATGTCTATTATCTTTTGTTTAAACCTGAAACCCTGATGAATGACCAGCGTCTTCTTTCTCCTAACAATATCACCCCTGAGTCACCTCTCCTAGACAACAAACAATAGAACGTGCATGTCTATTATCTTTTGTTTAAACCTGAAACCCTGATGAATGACCAGCGTCTTCTTTCTCCTAACAATATCACCCCTGAGTCACCTCTCCTAGACAACAAACAATAGAACGTGCATGTCTATTATCTTTTGTTTAAACCTGAAACCCTGATGAATGACCAGCGTCTTCTTTCTCCTAACAATATCACCCCTGAGTCACCTCTCCTAGACAACAAACAATAGAACGTGCATGTCTATTATCTTTTGTTTAAACCCGAAACCCTGATGAATGACCAGAATCAATTTTCTCCTTACAATATCACCCCTGAGTCACCTCTCTGCTTGAAAATGTACCAGTATTGTTTTGAGAAATTCCATTTTGATCATTGCTTGGATTAAAAGGGTTAAGATAAGCTTACCTCTTTAGCTGCAATAAGTGCTTGTTCCTTTTCCTTAGCATATCGATCCAACTCTGTGTGTTTGTGTTGAAATTTCTCTTGCATCTTGTTTATTGTCAATCTTAACTGTTCCTTTTCTGCTTCCATTTCAGCCACCTTGGCTTGGTTCATGTTTTTTTCATCTGTTAACTGCCATTCCTTCATCTTCACCTCCTTTTCTAAATTGTGGACAATTGTCTCCGTGTCTTCCAGTTCATCTTTTGTTCTTTCTCCACTGGCTCTGAGTAACTCTAGTTCCTTTGTGAGCATTTTAACCTGAAAATGGAATACTCCATCATTGTCTCAAGCACCAGTAACTTATTAATACAGAATTAAAATTAAAATTTAGGATGACAATGTACATTTGGGTGTTCTAAGTGTTTTGTGCAGTTTCACCTAAGCAAATTGCAAAGCTGAAGAGAGCAAACTCTGTATTGCAGAATTATTAACCACACTGTCGAGTCTAACTCAAACTTCTATTTATTTATAACAACCTTGGGGTAGCTTAATCTTGTTTTCATCAATCTACACCAGTTTTGTCCTTGATCAGGTTTTTTACAAACCTTTAACTCACTGGCAAGTAAAGAATTACTCAAGTCATCTGCCTTCTTTCTGAACTCATGTTCTCTTTTGCATTGTGCATCATCAAATCCTGACATTAACTCTTGCCTCTGAGCTTCCACATCCTCCTCAGCTGCCCTGTAGAAATTATAAAGAAAATTCTTTAATAATTTAATTGTTTTTTTTTTTTCAATTCATTCCTCCCTTGGTTCAACAACTGAGCTGAGTGGTTCACCTGGAAGGAGCTTATCCCAGCTATAATATCACAAGGTGACTTGGAGTATTGCAGCTACTAACTGTAATGAATAAAGGCTGATAGTTTCGAAAGAAACTGTTTGGGGCTGTGTCGGTGGGAGTAACGAAATAATTTGGATATATCAACAAAGTTGAAGTGGTAAATTGGCCACCGTAACGGTTACAAAAGCTGACGTTTCAAGCGTTACCCCTTCGTCAGAGCGAATAGAGGAATTGTAGGTTATGTGTGCTTTTAAAGGCAGATAACGTAGCTCCATTCTCTGCCTTTAAAAGCACACACAACCCACAATTCCTCTATTCACTCTGACGAAGGGCTAACGCTCAAAACGTCAGCTTTTGTAATCGTTACGGAGGCCAATTTACCACTTCAACTTTGTTGATATATCCAAATTACTAACTGTAATGATTCCCATTATTTTTGGAAACTCAATGGAGGGTGTTCAATAAGCACAGGACACCTATTTTTTTTGTGTGAGAAACATCAGAATGTGCAAAACAAAGATTTAATGTTTATTTGAAAAGAATCAAGAAGACTTGAATCAGACTTGCTGTCTCTGGATCCTTCCTGGCAAGAACAATGAGTCAAGCAATTATCACAAAATTTGAGGACCGGATCATTCGCTTGAAGGAACTCTGTACTCACAAGGGCATGGTAATTGAGAGACTGAAACGAAGACCACTGTTTTTGTAATGAGGCTTTAAGTATGCAATTAAAGGAAGATAAACCATGGTTGTTCTCAGAGTACTTGAACTCTAACAGTGCTGTCACTGAAACAGAATAGGGGTGTTTATTGGAATAGGGGCATTTTTTGGTATAGGGTCCTTATTGGAATTAAGGTGCTTACTCAATATGGGCACTTATTATCGAAAACAAATTTTAGGGGAGCGCCTATAAGAAAGGGGGAACAAGGGTCCTAAATTGAATCATTATGATACCCCTGTCCACCGCAGATTACCAGAATAATTTAATCTGTTTTCCCGAACAGTTTGGTGATAAAAACTTAAAATACTCCTAGGTGGCAAGAGACAAAGTGAAAGTAAAGTGACCTTCCCAAGGACACAACACAAAGACCCCTGGGCAAGTCTCAAACCTGGACCCCTCAATCCAAAGTAGGTAAAGCCTACTTACGAGATAAGTGGCCCTTCGTGCTGGTGCTTTAGTAACTCCGGTTTCTGTAGCATGAAGCCACCTGGAGTACTTCTACTACCCTCTGGATGGAATGCTAGTCCATTGCAGAGGTTACCCTAGCATTAAATTTGCTGGTTCCCTTTTAATTCTCCTGGATGAAGAGAGGCACTCTGAGAGTAAATTGTCTTGCCCAAGAACACAACACAATGTCCCCTAGCTAGGGCTTGAACCCAGACCACTCGGTCCGGAGTCAAACACACTAACCATGAGGCCACTGCACCTCCCACATAACCCAAAGTCCAGTGTACACAATGTGAGCCCACCATGTCTCCCACAGCTGAACTGAATATTAATCTATTACTATTGTACCTCAGCTGTACTTGTAGCTCTCTTTTGAATGACTCAAATTCCTCTCTTTCCTTGTTCACCTCATTTTCTTTGTTGAGTCTGAACTGGTTCAATTCCTGTTGATGTTCCCTCAAACGCTACAATTCAATAAGCACCCAGAAGTTGAGAGAGAAGCTTCCATCCCATACTTCAGGGGAGATAGGGAAGTAACAGACAGTTATTACATGATAAGCTGAAGTATACTTATTTCTGATCTATGGGAGGACAGATGCCTATATATATATATATAGATGACATCACCATTAACAAGCGTTTGCTTTTTTATCATATAAAACATAAAGATTCAGTTTTGCCGTGGGTCTGTGCAGCAATAAATCACAGAAGATTTCAACATGTTTTAAGAATATCAGTGACACACTCAGCTGCCCCTTGTGTGCCAATGTTTTGTTCTTGCCACATTTGACTACATGTAATCTATTTAACTAGTTTATTGGTGGTTAAAACAGTGGGATCACCAAATGAAGTGATAAAAGAGATAGAAATGTTGCGCACATCACCGGGAAACACATGATAGTTTCCAAAGCACAAAAATTAACGTCTAAAATGTCACACCTGTTGATAGTGCCTCTGCAGTTCTTCTTTGGCCTTCTCCTCGTGAGATAATTTGAGTTTGAGGTCATCTAATTGGATTTTTAGATCACTGACCTCCCCATCCCTTAAACTATTGATGTTTCTAACTTGCGAAAACAACACATCGTATCTCTGTAGCTCTTGGTCTCTCTCTTCCAACAGTTTCAGGTTGTATTCAAAATCCTCTTTCAGCTTCCTAAATCGCACTCTTTGGTTGTTAAGCTGTCCTTCTTTCTCCTTAAGAGCACTCTGCAATGATTTATTTTGCAGTTGTTGCGCTTCCCTCCATTCATTTTCTTTCTGTTTAACTAGTTCTTGCAGAGACGAAGTTTCGACGGAAATATGTGCCATGAAAATATAAATACTTAGCGCCGGTCTGAACAGAAATCGCGATTGTTGCTGTACTCACATTTGCATGGAAATACATAGTACAAACTGGAAAATTCATTTACGGATAATAAAACATTGCAGCATTTCCAACTCCGTAGAAAACAAGAACAAAATAAGATCGATGTCATGCATCCAACTGAAAATCTGCCGCCATAACATTTGCAATAATTCAATCCCAGACCTCTATCGAATCACACGGTCATCAGGTGAAGCGCGGGGACGGCAGGTTTCTGCGCTAAATTTCGTGGAATTAGTTTTCATCCCTTATTGAAACTTTGCAGTTGACCGACTGAGTTGTCTGTTGATGTATACACTGATGCGAGGAGGACTTATTTTCAAGCATTGATAAAAGCGGCATTCAAAGTTAAAGAAAGTGGGAGGGGGGTGTCTTCAAATCAGGAGTACTACCATTAAATAAAGAAAAGTCCATGATTTATTGACCAAAATAAGTCACAAAGTATAACAGATAGTGTTTGAAACTTTATCCCAGATATTCACTTGTAACAGCTTTAAAGGCCACTTAATTAAATCCTTTTCCTCCACTCTTCAATAGCTAGAATATTTTGAATAGTCAAGAAAACAATTCAACCAAGAATTCATGGCAAATAAATGAAAACATTCAAACCTTGAATCTGATAATAAAAGACACAATGCGGAAGCTTGGGCTACCTGTGGTGTAGGGTCTCTGATGACAGTAAGTTAAAGTCAGCACACTGGCATGGGCTGATATGTTCAGTAACATGGAACATTCTAATTCTCAATTGTTATGATGTTAAACTAACAGTTTTGCAAGTGAGAGTTACTTTCATTTAAAAAAAAATCAATATCAATTTTTTAAGATCATGATACAAGAAGTATTAATACACTGTTAGCGGTGACCTACTGAAATGAATCATGAGATTTAACTGTTCCTTGCAGATCACAAAAAAAGGATTGTCTCCAAAGCTAAAATCCTCCAAAGCCGTCATCTCAAATGAAATAATATAAATACAAAGCTTTCAAAGAGAAAGGCAACTTAATTCCAAGCATAACGGGAAGCATTACTTGCAGAGCTTTACTGCAGCCTACATTTCTTTATTAAGGACCTTACGAGAACCATAACAGTGACAGGAATGAGGACGTGGAAAAACAAAAGATGTAATTGGGAGAACAATAGCTCCGCACGTGCATTTTAAAACTTAGTATATTTCTTAGCTGTCCTTTGCAAAACAATAACRCAAAATCACCAAAGTTTGTGTCGTCTGCTAACCAAAACTGCGATGGCAAATTATTTTAATTTCCATTTGGAACTCAATGTTACTTGAATTTATACGTAATGTTGAGGTTGAGGTGTGGCGCCGTATGAGACGGTAAACACATACAGCCATTTTCGAAATTGTAATTAAAAATGGAAATTCATTTTCTAATTGAGGTCTTCCTTGGCATTGCCATCCTGACTGCTTTTAAGGTCCCAATTTCTTTAGGAGATGCAGTGGCCTGATTATCAAAGCACTCGGGACTCTGGGTGAAGAGGTCCAGGTTCAAGACCTAGCCGGATCAATGTGTTGTTTTCTTGGGCAGGACACCTGGACATTTTACTCTCACAGTGCCTCTTCCCCCCCTCCCCCCCATGAGTATGAATATGTACCAGTCAGGGAAGCCTGATGAAATGTGGGAGGGTAACCTTGCAGTGGAATAGCATCCCATCCAGGGGGGAGGTAGTTATACTGACTCTTAGTTGTTTCCTGCTATGGAAACCGAGATAGGTTCTGGCTGGATAGGCCACTATGCTATGCTTGAGTAAAGACTTGCTACATTTCTTTCACATGCTTTAGATTACATTGTAAAATTCTCAATTGCTTTTCAAATTGATGATATGAGTAAAACTCAAAACACCAGATGAATCTCGTTGTCAACTCTTCTCACATCACAACCAAACCTCTTACATTCTCTTGACATTGTTTCCACAAGCCACTTCACACCCTCCTCTTTGGCCTTGTTAACTCGCAAATGTTTTGTCTGTGTTGGCACCATTCTGAGGCCAGCCAACAGGCCTGTGTCTGGACAAACATCAACAAAGTACATCAAAGCAAGATCCCCACGATACCCTTCATGACCTGTGATACCCTCATAGTCATTTAAAAAGTCACCACAACCATAAACAATAAGTCTGCCATTGTGAACCTCTATACCTTTCACGTGATGCGATGAATGGCCATGAATGACATGCACACCTGCCTCATCAATTGCTTTGTGTGCAAACTTTACAAAAGAAGACTCAACATTCCAACCCCAGTTTCCTCCCCAATGAATTGACAACACAATAATGTCACCATCCTGTTTGTGCTTTTCAATTAGATTTTTAAGTTCATTAACTGACTTGCTAGCTTGATAGAAGTCAACGATGTTAACTCCTTCCTTATCTTTCCTTACCCGCCAGGAGTCAGGGACTCCACTTGAGGAGTGACCAGCAGCAAACACTAACACTCTTACACCCTTATTACCAATATGAAAAACAGCTGGAGCTTTTGCTTCCAAAGAATTCCGTCCAGCTCCAGCAAATTTAATGCCACTATTTTCGAGAGTATTCATGGTTTCGAGAAGACCAGGAAATCCCCAGTCTGCTATATGATTATTTGCCAGAATGCAACAGTCGATATTTGCTGACTGAATAACATTTACATTTCCAGGGTGCATGCGATAGTGGATTCCTTTCATAGGCCATTGTGTGTCACTTGTAGTCACTGAAGTTTCCAAGTTGATGATCCTCAAGTCTGGCATCTTCTCCTTCAATATTTGTATAGCATCTCCCCATACATAGTCTACAGGCCGCTCGCTCTTATCTGGAAGTGGTCCTGTCTGTCTTTCAGCTAAACTGACATAGTCCCTTGCATCCAACCCATTACTCTCATAGAGTATGGGGTTGTTAGAATGTTCTAGGATCATGTCAATCCCTCGCCCTAACATAACATCACCCACCATGAACAAGCTAACAGCTGTGACCCTCCTCTGAAATTTGAAAACCAATTTTAATTATTTTTGTTGTTGACACAGTGATTAAGGACCATTTATTCAACCCCGCAGGCCTAGGATGAAGGGTTTCGAGTTGTGTCATCTGGCGTGGGCATGAGTTTCAAATATAATTAGTTTCTCATCCAATCTTCCAATCCTATTTTCTATAATTAGGATAAATTTTAAAGTATTGAGCATCACACCTTACTTATTTGCCTTCATTAATGGGGATCACTTATGTTATGATCAAAACAGAGCAATTTCCTGGTGTGGGTATAAATTTCAAATTACCCTCTATCTTTAATATCGCACCCTCTCTCTGATTGGTTAAGATATGTTTTGAGGTTTTTTTGAGCACTACAACTAACTTTATCGCCTTAATTAATGGGAATCACTTCTGTACGAGTAACTTGTGAGTTAAAACGAGCTATTAATTTGTTTTTAAGTAAAGCAGCTCGATTGCCTTCACTGTCTTCGTTGTGACGCTAAGTTTGTGGTTGCAGCCAATATTCTTGAAGTAACTGTTGGAATCTGCAATCTATTCGTATAAGTATAGCAATTCAAAAGAATTACCTACCTTACTCGTTTGAGAAGCAAGATCTCTTCCTCCTTCTTGAAATACCTCAGACTTTGAAAACTTTAGCGTGGAATTTGTGGATCCCATTCCACAGGCATATAATAAGAATTTCAAGATGCGATATGATCTAAGACAATTATGCATCAATTAATGAATACTATACTGGATACTTTCGCGATTTCAGTTTCTCCTTTTAAAGTCAACTTAAAATCCTTTAAGCGTAGATTCCTCAAAAGCACAAAGTTATTATAACTTTAAATTTATTTGACCCGAAAATTGCGAGATGCATCTCCTACCGGTATCCGATTGTTCCCGATTATTTTACGAAATTGACCGACAAAAATCGACTATTGATACAGTGGCTTCCAGGCCTCCCAACTTATGTTGTTCAAGATGGCGGAAGCGGTCACGAATCGAAATGTCAGCAGATCTTCCTGCTAGTAGTTTACCTGGTTGATATCAAATGTTGTGATATTTAAGGCGAATTGGGCTACTTTTGGCCGAGAAGAAGGTGAATGACAATCAAGCTGGGGCTCTTAAATAATGTCCAGGTGCGGTTTTTATGCCCAGCCGACGTTGATGAAGTCAAACGACTCTGTCGCGAATGGTTTCCGATTGAGTGAGTATGAATGTTTCTTTTTAATACAGAACGGGAGTTGAATTCAGAATAAAGTAATAGGTAACGACAGGCTTATTGCTTGCAACAAAAGTAGAAGAAAATAGCAAAACCAGAGTTGGTTAAGAGTGAACTAGTTTCGAGTTAATTTGATAAATACAGCTGGAACAGACTTCTGATTACTGCCTGATATGGTTTCGTCAAGCGTGTGCTTTGACAAGGTTGAACTTATCGATAAAAGTAGTGAATTCCAGGCAGAGTTAATAAAGTTCCTTTTCGTATTATCAAAGGCTGATGTGCAAATCCAAGGTTTTTCGGAAATGAAATGGGGCGAAGAAGTTTACATTTCAGATTAACCGTTTACGCAGTTGTCAAAGTTACTATTTATAGCTATTATGTACGAAGCCCAGCTTACCGTTCTGTTGGCCAAGAGAGTTACGTTCTACATGTTTGCATAATGATATCGCAGCCTTCTCCCCTAAAGTGGATTGAATGTTTTGAAGCTTTTCAAGATAAAAATTAGTGATAATAATTTTGAACGACGTTTCGACCTCGCTGAGGTCATTTTCAAGCTGATGAAAAGGAAAATTTTTACATATATGTACTAAATTCAAGACGTGGGAATGGTAAAGGTGATAAAATATGGACATATATGTAAACACTCTGCATAAGATAGAAGTGATAAAATTGCAAAGGAGACAATACGAATAAATTAATATGAGAGTTGACGAAAGTAAAACTATAAATTATACAAAGATACCGTAAATTATTATAAAAATAGCTTTGCGCGGATTGAGTCTGACTGTTTGTTCAAGCTTGGCTTAATTTCTTTTATAAAAAGCATCTCATAAATTAGGCAGTCCAGTTTACTTTTGCATTTCTTCAGGATTTTGAAACTGTGATGCAAGTCACTTGGGGTATGCCCATGCCGCTCTTTAATGTGATTTCCAATTGAAGACTGAGACGCTTTGTGTTCTTCAGCATGTTGGTAGAGGTGCTGGCATGTGTAGCCGACACAGTCTGCATCGCACAGACCACACTTAAAATAATACACAACGCGCGGCCGATTNCTCTGCGATACTAGTGCAGCGCTCTACCAATTGAGCTAACAAGCCAACTGGGAACAGGCCGTTAAGTTGATTCATAATAAACCCGTGAAAGTGATAAATCAGATACAATGAATATATGAAGTTCATATATTTTGAACTGTGGTATCAGATACGTATAATGCACGATCCTCGCAGTAGATAGCGCTATTTATGCAATAGCGAAAATCAGACCTGAAAAAAATCAGGCTTGTACGGGATTCGAACCACTGACCTCTGCGATACTAGTGCAGCGCTCTACCAATTGAGCTAACAAGCCAACTGAGAGCAGGCCATTAAGTTGATTCGTAATAAACCCGTGAAAGTGATAAATCAGATACAATGAATATATGAAGTTCATATATTTTGAACTGTGGTATCAGATACGTATAATGCACGATCCTCGCAGTAGATAGCACTATTTATGCAATAGCGAAAATCAGACCTGAAAAAAATCAGGCCTGTACGGGATTTGAACCACTGACCTCTGCGATACTAGTGCAGCGCTCTACCAATTGAGCTAACATGCCAACTGGGAGCAGGCCGTAAAGTTGATTCGTAATAAACCCGTGAAAGTAATAAATCAGATACAATGAATATATGACAACTGGTTCTTTATTGAACCAGTTGTCCTGAAACACTTTTTCAGTAAGGATAGCTATTGTTTCGTCGACGGGAATGTTGGTAAAAAGCGAAGTTACATCGTATGAAACAAGGACACAACAATCATCTACTTCCATATCATGGAGAGCATCCACAAACTAAAAAATATCACTGATTGTGTGACTGTTGGTTGATAGTGGTTTGAGTTTTAAATCCAGCCACTTTGCTAACTTGAAGTTATATGTCCCAGTTGTGGATAAGATGGGGTGCATTGCTAACCAGCGCTTATGGGTTTTCGGTAAGCCATATAGGTGAGCAAGCCTCGAACCTTTTTGAATGACTTATTGGGCGATTTCTTTGGGTAATATTCTTTGTACGGTGGTGGCTAATTCTTTTTCTTTCTGTTGTAGCAGATGATAGTGCTTTGGTGGTCGCCCCCTCATTTTTGGTCTTTCGGTACTCATAGGTCTAAACTTGCTGTCTTCGTTGATTGATGATTCCTTGACTCAGTCCGCACAAGCTATTTTTATAATAATTTACGGTATCTTTGTGTAATTTATAGTTTTACTTTCATCAACTCTCATATTAATTTATTTGTATTGTCTCCTTTGCAATTTTATCACTTCAATTTTATGCCTAGAGTTTACATATTTCCATATTTTATTGCCTTTATCATTCCCAGGTCTTGAATTTAGTACATATATGTAAAAATTTTCCTTTTCATCGACCTCAGCAAGGTCGAAACGTCATTCAAAATTATTATCACTAATTTTATCTTGAAAAGCTTTTCTAAAAAACTACTTATCAGAATGTTTTGAAGCTATGGTTTTCCTTTACCATCAAATTTTCGGAAAAGAGAACAGAGCAAAACAAAATGTAAAATGCAATGCAATGAAATATTTTTAGACCTGTTTTCAGGAGGCTCATCTGGTAGATATTTGCCACTTGACAAAGCAAGTCACTTCTCATATTTTCAAATGTATTTGCTTTTGATACGACAGAATTTGACACCTGTTGTGAAAGTAATGATAAAAGACAATTAAAAGACCATTATTTAAATTTATGAAATAGTAAACTTTTACTAAATCTTGCCAGATACCCTGATGTTTGGTATGAGGAGATAACATCAAGTTCCCGATTCTTTTCTTTGGCTGCCACGCTAAATCATGACATTATAGGACTCCTTGTAGCAGAAGTAAAAACCAAGTCTTTATGCAACAAAGAGGTGAAGTTGTATAAGATGTTAGTTTGAAATCATTTTATTTTGAAAGAATTTTTTTCTTAATTTTTTTTCTCTAACCGCCTCCCGGTTAGCTCAATAGATAGAGTGCTGGACTGTTGTGCGGGAGGTTGAGGGTTGGAGCCCCGGCCGGAACAACACTCAGGGTCTTAAAATAATTGAGAAGAATATGCTGCCTTTCTATAACATCAAGAAATGGTTAGATATTCTAGTCTTCTTGGATAGGGATGAATAAATGAAGGTCCCGTCTCCTGCAGGGTTAGGGGCAGGAGACGTTAATTTCCCATGCACGAGATTACTGTGTGATGGATGTCCTCCCCTGGGGTGGGATGGGTGGTTAACAGGACCCCCGTTGATACCAGTGTTTACTACACTGAAGAGGCAATCCTGTATAAATATAGATGTCTACTCTATTAAGATATGGAAGTGGTGAGGCAACGCTTCACAGGAAATGTTACTTAATTTGGTAAAAGAGATTAGCACACCCTCCCCTGCCAAATTGTTAGAGGTACAATTAGCTCAAATTGTTATCAGGTCCTTGTGTGGTACAAAGTACAATTCCATTGATTGTTCAAGCACTTGACACTTTCCTTCTCAGTTCACTCAAGGTCAGCGTTAATCCTTTACAGCCAAACATCAGCATGGTTATTCTCCATACAGTTCTCTGTATATTACC